ATAAGAAATAATTTTTTCAAGGAGATCAGGAGCAATTTTAGAAAGTCAGAAGTGAAAATGGACGCATTTCTGATAATTTTCACTCAAAATCATATTGGACCATTCTCTAGTGGAAACGGTTTTTCGTGCTTTTCTAATGATAAATAGAAATGCAATTAACCATATTCTGTAAAAACTCAACTACAATTACAATTCGCTTCTTGACAACCTATTTATATCTCCATCTTACGAATTAATGAAGATATCTTCGTGTTATGAATAACAACTACCCTTACATGATCATTGGTGCACTACTGACTTGATATAGCTCAAAAAAAGTGGCAACAAACTGACAAATGTTTTTTCAAACTATAAAAAATTCGGAGATAATCCTATTCGGATGTTCACGCTTTTAGTTCAGTTTATTTAGAGGCATAAACAAGTCTATAGTAAACCATACGCTTAAAGCAGAACTTATCTAAAAGTTTTGCCAACATGTCCGAGAGAAAAACAATGAAAGAAAGTACAACCAAATCAATCTAAGATAGAAAAAATAAAAACAGGAACAACAAACAGCAAGTGGCAGAAAGGAGTTACCTGAACAACAGAAGAAAATGCGAAAGAAGAGAGGAACAAAATAAAAGCATTTTTAAATTTTAACATGTAACCTCATAACATGCTTGAAAAATGGAAATGACGATTGGCTTGCAAAGCGAGCAATTTCAGTGGAATTCCACTCATAAGTCGTTCTCCAAAAAGAATGATGACTGAAAAGTAGAAAACTAAGTGAATGGGATGCGAACAGATCGGGGATGATTTCGAAGAATAACTGTTCGGGAAGTAAGAGGAGGCGTGTACACATTTGAATTCAAGGGAGACAAATTATTAACAATACGGTAGAAAGAAATAAGGCGAAAATAGCCTCTACGTGTTTCTAAGTTGGGGAGACCTAGTTTTACTACAAGATGTTGGCTGTTTACTGTATTAGCAAACACTCGGGAGATGATTCTAGCAGCAAGATGCTGAACGGATTCAAGTAGCTCAAGGTGGGTGGTACAGCACACCAGTAGTCAATTTTCGGTAATACGCATGTTTTATATAATTGCAAACGAATACGCTGCGGTGCGTCACGAAACACTCGGTTGATAGTCTCTAATATTCTTCGACAAGCTTCGTTTTAATTTGGTTACTAAGTCCTGACACGTTATAAACAACAATTAATTTTCATATATTCGTGAGGCTCAGCAATATTGGTTAGAAACACGTTCGAAATGAGTGTAATAAGTACTGTTTCTAGCAATAAATAAAACATTCAAAGAGAATGGTGGTGACAAGGATGAGTGACAATCGAATATAGATGACACCATAAAATCATATAAGTGAGAAAACCGATAATAAACAACACTACACCGAATCATCACATACTCTTACCTGTCGTACTTTCATTTTCAACGAAAAATATCTATCATAATATGAATCTAAAATCTGAGGGATATCGTTGTACATTTTTATTTCAAAAGTCAAAAAAAGAAAAAACATTTCTAACAATAAAATATTGTATCATAATTTAAAAAATCACTACTGTTCTATTTCTACAGAGAAAAACTTAGACAATATATGTACACAGTATTCAACAAGTAAGATTAGCATTATAGAAAAAAAGTCGATGGGAGTTGGTATCTCGTACATAAAAAAAAAAAGAAATAGTAGAAAACGGGTTGAAAACGTAGAAAAACAAGTTGGAAACATACGACAATATCACTGGTTCGTTTTCGTTTTATATTGCACCACTTTTTTCCGATGGATTTTTTGATTATACTTTTTAGCACCAAAAGCGATAAATAAACAGCATAAACAATTAAAAATAAAAACGATGTTCATTTTGCCCGTAAGATGTATGAATTCACCAAAAAAGAAAAAAAAAATGAAGAAAGAAGATTGAGTATGTTTTCATTTTTTTACTTAACATAGATCTACCAGATACGTGGATAGTTCTAAAAATACTTTGTAAATGAGTAGTAGTATTTATCAACTTATCGAGCATCATAAATAACATAACATGGCCCATTTCAACAATAGATAACCGTCATCAATGGACATTCTATCTTATCTTGGAAAATAGCGCACATATGATGAAAATATTTTTAAACACATATATAAATATTAGTTTTCTGAAAAATTAAAAAAAAAATAGCGATTATAGTCATATGTAAAATAACTCATATAAAGAATTTTTACATCTACAACTCGTTGAAAAAATATTTGTGTTTTGTTCTATCAAACAACGCATATTTTGAAAACGAAACAAAAGTACTAAGAGTTATAGGTATAAAAAAACAAAGTTTTAATTAAAAGAAAAATGCTGCGTCAAAATTATACAAAAATGCAGCTTGTAGAAAAATATAAAGTACAAATTAAAATCAGACAAATTTTTTGTCAAAATTCATTTCGTTGAATATGAAATCACTGTTAATGAGATGATGTATTAAATGACTGTTCAACGAAAAGAGTAGGCAGGATCTATAGTTTTTTGGTTACTATAAATGTGTATCTATTTCATTATAAGGTTTAGACCTATTTAATGATGTAGTTGTATCTAAAAATATATATAAATCATCTGACGGTGTTTTATTGTCAAATAAATCAAAATAATCGGGCTGTTGACCGTTAATCTGACCCAATGGATATATGAGCATATCATTTGAATTTGGACGGATAGGATTAGTCTAAATAATAATCAAAAATATTTTGAAAACATTTACAACAAGTTTCTTATATTGAAAAAATATTCATTTATTTTTGTCTAAAATACATCACTATACTTACACTGTATTTTTCAATAAGTTCATTAAGACTTTGAAATTTTTCATTTTTTGATCCAAGAAATCGATAATAATGATCATCACCACTATTACCACCATTTTCTGTGCTTAAAACTTCAATAAGTAAATGTCGACAATGATCCGAAGCTCGATAGGATAATGCATAACCAAATATTTTTTCATTTACACGTATCAAATAAGTTCCAATTCTTTGAGATTTTAACATTTGTTCAGCTTGTATTCGTGTTATTATACCTGAAAAATATATTCACACATCATTGTATAGACGAATAATGAAAGTAAATGATTTAATTTACCATGAAACCAACATGCAATGTGACCATTTGAAGATAAAAATGAACCATAGGGAATTTCTAATTCACGAAACCATTGTTTAACATCGTCACGTTTTGAGGGGACGGTATTTGAAGATAATAAACCTGATGTACTAAATAGTTGGAGAAAAGAAAAATCTGATAGATACTTTGTACTTTAATTTTCACTAGTGCAAAGGAAACAATATTTAATTGTTTTTCACCTACTTTGTCGACTCATTAATATTAAGTGGTTTATCGATTGTATTTGGCTTTGTTGTACTTCTTACAAATTCAATTTGTACCGTTTTCTCTTTCGATTTACTACGTTCACCATTTTGATCTAGATCAGTTGAAGATCTTAATATTGATGATGTTAACGGTGGTGCATGTAAAAAAGAATTTGATGCTGATGAATAGAATGAGGAGGATGGTGATGGCGATGTATCGAAACAGACATTTAATTGCATGGAATTACGATAATCAGTACGAACTTTTTTCGCTACCTCACGTTGAATGAGTTCAGCTTTTTTCGCTTTTTCCTCTAAACAGATAATAATATACACTGAAAATAGACAAGTTAGAAGAAATATAAAAAGGTAAATCGTACCGGCAGCTGCCCATGCTCGATTTCGTTCGTTTATATCATCATTTTCTTTCAACGATTTTCTTTGTTGTTCCTTTAATTTTTCTAATAATTCATGTTTACGTTTCTCTTTTAATCGTTCAAAATATGCTTGTTGTTTACGCTTCTCTTCTTCTTCTTTTTCCTGCAAAAAGAAAAATATACATATATAGACAACTTTTTCTTCTTGTTAGCACTTTATGTGTATTTTTTCCGTTGTTTTGATTAAAGTAAACTTAACATTCAACAGAAAGCGATTTTTCTATATTACTACCGTCATCAATCGTCTAGTTTCTATTTCCAAACGTTCAAATATTCTTCTAGCTTCTTGTATATTATTTGAAATTTCTTCAATTTGCTTCTTTCTAAAAGAAAAAAAGGCAAAAGATCAATCACATAAATGTATATTAGAGAATTGTTCACAATAGCAAAATAAACACTCACTGACAAAAAGATTGACAAAAAGCAAAACTTCCGTAAATTGAAAAATAATAGGCTAATGAAGAATAGCAATCAATTTTGACAGCATCTTAATCAAACCTACATAAGTTTGCTTATTTAGTCACAATTCACGAGACCAAATTTTGTGCTAAGATGCAGTGATAGGAGAAAACGCAAAGTGAACGATCTAATTCATGCATATATGAACAACAAGGCATGCACATGAAAAAAAAACACGAGAAAAGGAAAAAGCTACTTCTGCAGTGTTCTTATTGATTATATTTGTTCATCAATGTATCTATTCTAGGAAGCACCCTCTTTATAGGAAAACGGCATACTTTTGTCTACTGAGAAGTAACTTATTTCCCCCAAATCGATAGTTTACAAACACACGTACACTCATGAACCATACTTACTCTGCACGATGAACCGTGTAATATTTGATATTAGCTCTATAGTATTCAAAGAAGACGAATAATGTGTATAGATGTAAAAAGACCCAAACCAGTCAGTAGGAAAAAAATTCAAAATAGTAAAATGAAAAAACTCTCTTTACCTCAATTCTTCATCCAATAAACGTTTTGTTTCAACTTCCATTTTATTATGTATTTCCATTTCTTTTGCTTCTCTATAAAAATCAAAAATGAAATTATATATTTTAGTTAATATTTAGTATAAATATTAAAAATCTAACCTTTCTACATTTGTTTCTTGCTCAGCTTGAATCTCGATTTGTTCTTCTAAAATCTGTTCAATTGTTTTATCGTCTTTGTGCTCACCCATCACCTATAAAAATAAATTGTGAGAAAATGATAAACTGTTCACATGAACTAGAAGCTTTATTTGTTTTACTCACCCAAACCCATTCATTTCCGTCTGAGCCCAATTTAAATTTTACTTGTTTACCATCTACGAAAAATAAGGACAATCATATTTAATAATTAGTATTAAAATTAAATTAAAATAATTACTTACTCTTCAATTTTTTAAATTCTTGAATATTTTCTAGTTCTAATTCTTTTTCATGCCATCGACGAATTTGTTCTTCACGCATTTTACAAAATAACAATTGTTTTTGTTCATCAGGTAAACCAGAAATTATTTCAGGATCAACGTACAAATCACGAAGAATTTGTTGAAGCATATTGCTAATTTATAATTTAAACAGATTGAATGAAATTAGTGCTATACAAAGCACCATCTAAAATACAAATTGAAAAAATAAATTTTAACTAATATATCATAATACTACAGATAAAATAAATTAAAATAAAATATAGAATTATTAAATAAAGTACTATTCAAAAGTGTACATAATACTTTTTTCTCAGCATATACGTTCGAAAGCGTATGATTTCTTATACGATACTAAGTTTTCAAGGTTAAGTGGGTTATCAAAATACGACTGCCGTCTAATATTACCTTCTTATTATAGACAATGAAAATTGTGGAACAAACATTTTTGTTTATGCATCATTCAATGCTATTTTCGAACAAAGCGGTCTCTATCAACACAATCACAATAATGTTAGTCTCAAGGTTCAATTAGAAGGAAAAAAAAATAATATCAATTCTAATTATCACATTAGAAGAAAAAATGACAAGGCAAATTAATAAATAAAATCAAAGTGTGGCTATGTGGCTTTGATTTCGATTGGGTCACAGTAATCATTAAAATATCGTAAAGACCTCTTGAATTAACCTCTGTATATTAAATAATCGTCATTGGTCTATATTTCTAAACAATTGTATAAATAGGAAATTGTCGGTACCTTTCCACAGTGTATGGGACTGTACTTTGTGAATTCTTTATCTGAACTTTCACAACATTTTATATTCAAATATCAGATTGTAGAGAAATATTTTGACTAACATATGAGACGATTTTCAGCATCTAATCGTCACACATTCATCTAAGGCGCTGGGCAAAATTTATACAAGATTGAGCGAAAAATTGATGGAGAAAGTACGAAGTACCGACAAATCCCTAAAACTCTTTTATCCACGATTTTCAGATGAGGCGATAACTGTTTTTTCATCTTGTCATTGTTTTTGTAAGGATAAACGAAATAATTGAACATTTTTCACTGGAATGCAAACTATTTCATTAAAGCATTGATTATACGCCTAAAATATGAAAAGCAAATTTTTGAGAGCTGAATGATTTATCTAGTTTTTTACTTAGAAAAATATGGAACTATATTTTAACGAGTTTTGAATTTAGAAGCTATGAATATCAAATTTTCCAATATAATCTTTTCATTTTTATCTTCTTTTATATTTTATTCTGACAATAGTCAAAAATTCACCAATGGATTCTAAAGAACTTGAAACAATTTCTTCTTCTTCTTCGAGCAATAATAACAATATCGACATAGGACATGAGAAACATCAAACAAAACAATCAGTTGAGGAGGTAGATCAAACCTCTTTTTCGTTAGACGAAGACAAAACAATCATTGCTAGTGCTACTTTACTTTCTAAAAATGATACTTCTACTAATTCGTCAACACCAAACACTGTTATATCGATTCCTATAACAATAAAAATAAAATATAAAACTCAAATATTTGATATCAAATGTGATCTTTATGATACACTGAAAGATTTGAAAGAACAAATTGATAAATTAACCGATATAGATCCAAAAGTACAAAAATTAGTCTATAAAACAATATCGACAAATAAATCAGTTGATACAATAACATTAAAAGATTTAAACATTGTCGATGGAACAAAATTATGTAGGTATTCTGTTTTTTTTTTCTTTAGTGAAGATTATTTCTGATAATCTTGTATATTTTAATTTTCAGTATTAATTGGAGCAACTAGATCTGAAATGTTATCAACAACGGCAACAGGAGCATCAGGAACAAGTGGAAAAGATTTTTTGGATGATCAACAATCAAAAAAGAAAGAACCATTATCAAAAATGACACAACATGCTAAAATATTAAAAAGAGGAAAACCAGATAATGCTGGAGTAAATGCATATCTTATAATTATTATACATCTTTCTAACTTTTATGTTTATTTATATTTTTAGATTGGTATTCGAAATGTGAATGAACCATTGCCATTATCGCTAGATGGCATGTATATGTCAACATTAAATCAACGTGAAAAACGCGTACGTTTAACATTTAAATTAGAATTAGATGAAGTATGGGTAAATACAGCCGAAACGACAATGAAAATACAAATGAGTCAAATTCGAAATATTGTTGATGAACCTATTGATGGGCACGAAGGCTATTCAATAGTTGGATTACAAAAAGGAACAACTGAACAGTCAATTATATGGATCTATTGGGTACCGTCACAGTATGTTAAGGCGATCCGACAAGCAATTCTATCAGATAATTAAAAACTTTTATTTATTAATCAAAACAACAAGCCTAGCTTTAATATTCGGGATTTATAAAAAAATATTTCAACGAATTCCATGTCAATTTTATATTGTTGTTTAATTTAGAAATACTGAAGTTTTTGATTAACATTGATAATTATATGAGTTTTCTAGTATGACACTACTGACTGTATAAATTTATCTATCAAAAACTACTAAGTATAATTCATCTAACAAACAATGTATTCCATGTGTGTTTGTTAGTAATTGTTGAAAAATAAAGATTGGACACACTATTCTTCTTTTCTCTTTACCTTTTTCTCATTTCAACTTTTCTTTTTCGAAATTCTATTGAATCAGAAATGTGAAACATTTCTACTTACTAATCTAGAGCACCATTTTTATGCTCGGAAAGTAAACAAAAATAAATTGTTTTTAAAAGTATCTATCTACTGCTTGCTCAACAATTGTTTACTTATTTCTTTTTTTTTGCATTGTTAATCTACAGAACGATGATTAAAAAAACACTACGTTTTATTCTCTCGGTTTTCTTTTAACCAAGTGAATCTAATGTTTTTCTGTTATTTTTTGTTGTTTATAAAAACCAAAATGTTGTTATTTATGGAGCGTATTTCCGGTGCTATACGTTGTGTTACCTAATTTTTTTGCTAATGAAAGTCAAGCGACTACTTCCAAAAATCTGTTTCATGTTATTCTGTATTTTTGCGCTGGTCACAATGAATGACTATTTGTTATTTTCGTAGTTTTTCTTTTTAATCTTAAATGAGGACAAATTCATCTAAAGCATGTCTGATGACATTTTTTTCTCTAAGTGTCTCGGGTGTTTATCTGCACTCTTCCATCAAAAATGACACTTTTATTCTTTTTTTTTGGAATGGTATTTTTGTCTTTTTCTGTTTATATAAATATGGATGCGTATGCTTTACTGCAAACAGAAAAACATCGGTTAATATCAAAATATAGAATATTAGATAGACATACGATGAAAGCGACAAGAATTTAGATCGATCTTAACGTTCTAGTTGAAAATTTTGTGCGGTAACTATAGAAGCCTATACTGATGATCACTTCTCGTATTCTTACTTGTAAATTATGCAAAACGATTCGAACATGATCTGCAGTCATCAGTTACAGTATTATCAATATTACGATTTCTTATCACCTCTAAAAAAACTCATTCCGAAAAGCAACAGATGTTATTAGACAAGACAATAGACGTACAATAACTCATTGTCATTGGTTTTGAAAGTTGTCGTAATTTTGAAGAGAAATATGTTTATAACGAAATACAGCCTTTCACACAGTATATTTCTTTCCAAATTAGCCTCTTCTGAATAGGACATTAACATGGGCACTCAATGGCATAGAAGAACTACATCTTTTATTGTACCAGAATAATAAATAAATGAATAAAGAATTAGCTTCTTCTATTACACTACATTCGGATTGAATTGATAAATGTTTGCTTACACCAAATCCATTTTAAATTAATACTTTAGCAGGTATTAGATTTGAAACCAATATCAGCTCAATATAGACTTGCTATTTACTGACTAGGGAGAAATGAGTCTTAAAATGTGTTCAGATTATCTTTCATCATTACATCTGATATTCTTCTATTCATTTGTAGCATCATTGTGGACAATTGAATTATGACTCAAATTGGTTACTAAGACTACAAAAACTCATCATTTAATTACATGAAAAACATATATAAGGTTTTATTTATTCTTATACTCTATAAGAAAAAAAATTTCCTGTATCGTACTGTTATGTAGGAATATATTCACGCTGGAATTCGATTCCTTTTGTTTGAATATTTAAAAATTAAACCGACTCATGAATAATAACAAAAAAAAGCATACTCTTACTCTAGTGGATGTTGTTGAATAAGAATAAAAAAAGGAATTAAAATAAAACAAAAACAAAACAAGACAATACTCGAAAGTTTTATGTTTACACATTTCTGAAAGTTCGTGCTCTTATAAGTTTCTCAGAGATAATATTTAGCGTCAGTTTCTGATTTTAATATCGTCCATCATTACGTCAGATCTTTGAACTTTTCGGCATTCTCTCCTAGATGTTTCTGTAGATGTTTATAACGTTTTCGAAGCCGCCTCAATTTGCTGAAATTTCTTCCACCTTACAACATTCTTTTGCACGCACTTAGTGGTATCTTTTGGTTTGAATAATTTACCGTAGTTTTCGTCTGCATATGTATATTCATTTCGATCAGTTAGTTCTAGTTATAATTTCTGTCATTGTTAACTGTGGTACATTAAACGTTTGTACTGTCTGAGCCACTATTTGTTTACGACTATCAGAGATGGGCGATGGACGAGGATCCTCGCGAGATCCCGCGATTTTTCACGGGGCGGATCTCGCGAGAAAGATTTTTTGAAAGCATGACGAGGCACGGGCCGATAACGAGGCAAGAACTTCACGGCGCGAACCCCACGAAGGACATTTTTTCTTGTGAGCGAAAGATGTTATGTTTATTTTGATCTGTTTTTATAATAAAGGTGACGGCTCTTCTTGTGAACCAAGATGAAACAATGAATAAGTTATATTAGCAAAGATTTTCTCGACTCAGGAGGATCGATGAAGAAGTGCCAGTGGAAAATTTTATCAAGAGTTGACGGTGGGCAAGGCGGCTACGGAGCAGAAAGCTTACGGGGCGATCCCCGCGAAGTACATTTATCGAAACTTGGCGAGGTACGGGCGATGACGAGGCAGAAAGTTTGCGAGCTGATCTCCGGGAGGGAGCTAAAGACAGTCCATCGCCCACATCTGCTATGTGCACCACGTTCTTATTTGTACACATTTGACCACAGTTCACGCAAATATTACTTCCTATTGTGACTGATGTCGGAGCTGTTCTTGTATTTTTAATGTCAGAGCAAAACTAGCTGCGAGTACTAACTTTGACATATTATGCAACTATACCATTAATATTAAGTTTTAAATTATACCTCAAAAAGCGCGATGTTAACCATAGATGTTGTCAATTGTTTTGGTACTAGATCAGACTGATTATATTGGCAGAAATCAATAACTAATTTTTGGGCCTATTAACTATCATTTTATTAAATATTTAAGATTGATTTACATACAACGATAAAAAAGAGATTTTCTATTGCACAAAACTACAGTGAAAAAAAACAAAATATCTGACAAAAGAAAGAAATTTACAGAAAAAGAGGTTTTATTGCTCCAAATTTTTCTGTACAAATATAAAAAGAAAACATTCTTATATATGAGCAAAATATTTTCGTTGAGCAACGGGTGTATGAGTTGCTGTTGCCGTTTTTTTGGGTGTTTTTTTATATCTTGGTTCTGAATTAACAATACGATTTGAATATTTTAATGAAGATAAGGGTGTTTTGGTATTTAAATCAGCAGCAACACTTTTACTACATTGTATTAATTGACAATTTTCCCGACAATCAAAATGACACGATAAACAACATGCTGAACAACGATAGGCAACAGAGCCAAAATTAATTCGTTTATGACACTGAAAAAGAGAGAAATGAGCAAATTGACGGCATGATATCCTACTGGTAGTGCATTTTTCAAGCATTCTTCAGTGTTTATGTTAAATGAATTATCTTAAAGCAGATGTTCCAGAAAAAGATTTATTTACACACCACACAACACGTTTCTGGTTTAAATATTTTTCTTGAAATAAATCTATGGGGTAATGTTGTTCCTCCTTTTATGGTTGGAGGAGTTTCAATTGACTGAACTGTGTTGTTTTGTGCCAGTGGTGTAAAATATTCTTGTTTTTGATACATTTTCAATGGAGTCATTGGATGATGTTGTGGTACAGGAATCGTTTGTTCAATTGATGAAGTCGAAGACGTTTTTGTACTTGTACTAACAGAATGTAAATCATAGTTGTCATCCGTAGTACAATTACTACTTGAATGTTGTTTATCTTAAACAAGCCATGTAAAAGATGAAAAGTTTAGTTTTTAAAGAATAGTGGCAATGTCTTACTTGTTAATTGTAGTCTTGAATCATGGTTATTATTTTCACAAAACGTAATTATTGATCCTGCACTTGTATCACTACTGTCAATATGTTGAATATTTGTTGTAACCGTAAATGGACGAGTTAAGTTATTTGTAAAATCAAATGTGGCTGTTGCAATTATTCTTGTAGGTGATCGATGTGAAGGCTGAAAGAAAACATATAGCCGCTTATGATATAATTAAATTTTCACTTTCTTCTGTAATAATGTTACAAGAAATAACACCATAATACACACACCTCTTCGTAACAAAATCGTTTGTTATTCAAATGATCATCAGATGACAATCGCTTTTTAGCTTGTACAACTTTTGGTTGTTGTTTGTAATTATCAGTTTCATCGAGGGTTTCATCAACTGTACAATTTCTGCTATCGATTTCTTCTTCATCCATTTCATCATCATCATTTGAGGAAAAATCACTACTTCCTCTACGCAATATAAAACAAACATATGACACATTCTCCTTGAGAAAAGTGACTTTATTACCTCAGACGATCTTCACATAGGTTTTTAATATGTCGCAATTGATCGCTGGATGGTTGTTGACGACTGTTAAGAATATCGTAAATTTGTTTTAAACATTGTTTCTAAAATTCAATAGAAGAATGACTAATTCTATTTATCTGCCTATTCTTCCATGGTGTTAAACAACGTTTATATCACTGTTGTATGTTCTTTCAGAACACTTACCAGTCGATTTACTTTATGAGCGGCATTCTTTTTGCTTTGACGTTGATCTTGAATTTGTTTACTAAACAAGAACGAGATATTGACAATTGATTAATCTTGAAAATGCATCAGCTCGTTAGATTACTCTTTATATAAAAATGACATTTTACTTGCATTCAAATACTGCTACATTCCTATATTACTTGATAAAAATAAACAGTCATACAATTCAAAAATAGACGGGACTTTTGTAGGTGTGTTTTGACAAAGTGTACACCACTTTTCAAACAACTGGCATGAATACTGATCAAATCATGCATTCAACCAATGTAAGTTAACAGAGATGCTTAATCGTAGATGAGGACTTCTAAAGTTGTTTACCTTTGTGACTTTGTTTTCAATGTAACACTTTTCAATTGAACTTCTAAGTCTTTTGTATACACTTTTGACCTAATACATTCATGTTTCATAGAATCGTAATATCGAGTGAGACCAAGAAATTCTAGACGAATGAAGAAATTAGTTAGAACTAACAAAATCAAAACGTAAGATTTTGTTACCTTGATCAGCCACATTTCGATATAAAATATGTTGATTTCGATTTAAAACATCAAATGATCGTAATGTTTGCTGTAATTTAATCTTAAACTTATCTTCCATCTAAAAAGAAACACTAAGGAAAGAATACCATCAATATATAAATATTTTATCTAAGAATGACAGAAAAGATACAATATATGAGAAAGCAAAAAACTGCATTTTTCAACAGCTTAAATATTGGAATATTGCAGTGGAGTTTCCCTTACTTTTATTCTGAATGGCTAATATAAAAATTTGACTATGCACTCACACAGATGAGTATCGAATCTGGCATAAGGTTTTCTTGTTTAAAACCAAAAATTTTCCTAATTTAATGAGCAAACAAAATATTTAACGACCGCAGCAAAGTGATTGTTTTTTCTTCTGCACACCAACCCACAGTAATAAACTGCTAATGGTTCTCAATATTTTCTGAAAAACCTAACAATGTGCAGGAGTAAATTATCCATACAATCGGTGTTTCTTAAGAGGAGCCAGTTACTGCTCAAATTTGAGCAAACAACAGTATAGTAGTCACGCATTATAATGGCAGGACCTCATTAGATACAATCGTGACATCGAACTAACAGTTCCAATACAAGAGTGAGTTACTATAATAAAAAGTAGATATTTAAAGTTTTTGTTTTTATTGAATAATTCATAGCATATACAAGAGTGTATATATAAACAAACATGCTACATTAAAATACAAAAAAATGGACACATACATACAAGAACTAACTAGTAATTAGTCGTTTATTTTTTTCTTCCACCTCTTTCTTTCAATTGTAAATACATCAATGATCCTTTCAACATATTATAAAAACCAAGCGTATTCGAATCTTTGAGAAACATTCCTTCGTATTGTAGTTTTTGTTTTCCTGCGGGCATTCCACCAAGTAAATCACTTAATTTAGCTTTGATTAGAGATATCTGAAATAAACAAATAACACGCGTCAAAAACTATTATTCTCAAGAAATGCACGTAATCATACCGTATCTGTAACAGGTAATGTCATTGGTATAGCTTGACCATTGAGATTCCACTCTGATTTTTCTGTAACAACAGGTAATTGAACTGTAAATGTAACTGCTCCCTAGAAATGATAACAATAAATATTAAGTAGACGGTAACACAACAAGAAAACTATTCTCTGTACTTTTCCAAATTTTTGATAAAATTCTTCTTCTGGCATCAATTGTTCTTCTGTTTTCATTCGTTTTGATGATGGTTCATCAGTAGGATGTGGATGAAGCTCACTTTGTCCGAGAGATATCATTGGTCGTACACCAACCATTTGTTGAAGGGCAGGTGTAGTATTCAAAATGAGACCGGTTGGTTGAGAACGTTGAAGTGTAATGGGTGTAACAAGCATTCCACCCTGGCCGGGACGCATAGTGGATGGTTGAGCGGGAGCTGAGATTGTAACTGTTTTCGTAGCTGGTTGAGGAGGTTTTTGAATTGTTTTTGACGCTTGAGAAGGCGTAATATTGTAAGTAACTGGTGATGATTTTGGAATTATTGGACCAATTCTATTCGCCATATCATCATCAATTAAACCTTGACTACGATGAATGGCTGTTATTTGTTCTTCTAATGTTATACCTGCCATTGCTTTTTTCGATGTTTTTTCAACTAAAACGAAAGAAAGTTTCAGAAAACAAACTCTACTTTTTAACTATGATATACCTGTTGCTGTATGACCATCCCAAGTTGGTTTTTCTTCTACACGACGATCTTCTTCACCGATCTAAATTAGTAAAGAGAGTGCACTAACAAATGATTAGTATAAAAAAAATGAAGTTACATACTTTTCGACCAATGGTTGTTTCCAATGTGCCTTTACCGAAGATATCAGTACGACGTTCAGCAAATTTTTTCAACTGAATGTCAACATTAGAACCAGGCTCATATACTGCCTCTTTCTCTTGCTGTTCATAGACTTCTTTTTCACGTCGTTGAATCCATGTAGGATCCAGCAGTGCTATTAAAAAACAGAGAATTAAAAAAGAAATTCTCAAAATATAGCTTATTTGAAATGTCACTGTTTCATATTGTTGCATTTTTAATTAAAAAATAACTAATTAAATACATACCATATTTCGTGTGATCAGAAATACGACTAGCTGGAATCTTTTCTTTTGTAAATGGTGAGATTAAATATTGTTCATTTTCAGGTAATGTAATCACTTTATCTAAAAACATATTTAGTGAAGAAAATTGAAGTTGAATTTCTTTTCACATACCTTTTGGATTGTATTGTTTGACTATAACTTGATCTGGTTTTAGAACAGATGGCAAATGAGCTGCCGGAAGTGTAGGTGGTATGCCCATATTCATTGTACTCGGCGGTGGCGGTGGTAAAGAAGAAGGTAACCTGAAAAATAAAGAGAGAAGAATAAAACTGAAGTCAACATTGTAAAACTATATCATAAATTACTATCGAACTTTAAACAGAATTAATTTTAAACTTATAGGAGCTCAAAAAACTCTAAATAAAGCGTTTTTATGACGTACGGTGGTTGTGCTCTTCGAATTTCAGCAATGTTTGGTATTGTGACTAATGGTGCTGGTGTTAAACGTGGCGTTGTTAAAAGTATTGGCACACTCGGTACTGCTGCTATTATTGTTGTTCCTTCATCTTCATCCTGATCCATATCAATATGTTGCATATTTCGATCGTTTGTATGCTGTGGAGATCCCGGTGGAGAGGCCATATCCATTTCTGCCGCTAAATCAGCTAAATCCATCATAGCTGCTGAATGGGGAAAACTCTAAAAATGGACAAAATTAGAGCTAAAATATTATGACTTTCTCAAATAACACTACATACGGTTCTATCTAAACGTTCTTGTATAAGCATTCTTGCTCCAACATGTTCCGGCGTAGTCGGTGGCTAAACATGAAGTTTCAGTGTTACGTGTGTTAAAATAACGTCAACTTTATACTCACAGGAAAATTGCCTTGTTCTTGGGGCTGATAATCAACCGTTTCAACAACCACAAAATCGTGCCAATCAATTTGAGAATAGGCGGCTACACAAGAAACGAAAGTAAATAGCATAAATAATGTAATTAAAAACTAAAATGCACCTCTCTCTTTTTCAAAAGCTTCTTCTTCTCGAGCTTTTTCTCGAACTTGATGACGAACCCATTCAACACGATAATTAACGTCGTCCATTACCTGCAAAACAAATAAACCGTTGTGTAACTTGACTAGTTTCTGATCATAGCAAAACGCTTCACACAAATGATTTTCTTTGTAAAATCATATTTCCGAATCGACGCTTCAAACACACGAACGAATCGGTACAAAAAGATTATCTTCATGAATCAGCATCGCTTGATCGCTACTTTAAAAAAAAACAAGATTTGCTAAATATATCGTAAACAATACATACTTTCTGTGGATGATCGACTTCTGCTTTTAATTTATTCATCAGATCTTTTGGCGGTATTAGCACTTTTGTATACTGTTCAACCAATTTTGTAAAATAATTAAATAAGCCATGTTGTGGCTTAAGAAAATCAAACTGATTATTTCGCACTTCTTTACTCATTAATGATGTTAAAAATTGTCTACCATTTCTCGCAACAAATTGGGCTGTTAATTTGACTATATCACTAGAAAAAGAGGACAACAAAAAGATTAGATGCTATCCCTGAAAAAACCAAAAAGGATACTTACAGATTTAAGCCAGAAATCGATGGTGGATCAGCAAGAAATTCGTAGTCGGGTGGTGGATCACGAACAAAAGTTGTTTCAATTATTTTACTAATTTCAGATGGCACTTTTGATTGAAGCTGAAATAATGAAAAAGTCCCATTCACTAATACTTCGGATAAGCATACAGGACATGACGAAAGAGGAGAAATAGCTATTGAACGTAATAAAAGAGTTTTTTTCAACTAAAGCAACTCTCTTTTTGTCTTGTTAGTTGGATAATTCTACTAGATGCTCTTTGTTTACACAAAGCCCACTAACTAGTCTACCTACTTTCGTTGTGGCCGCCGTTGGTGTTGTTTGTATTTGATTATCTGGTGGTAACTGCGTTTTACCCTCTTGAAATTCTTTAACTTTGTGTAAATAATATGCATGGTATGGATCATTTGAATTCAAAAAGTTAAATTTTGAATTTTGTTGCTCGGCATCTTTGACTTTTTTTTCAAAACCAGGACCATTGCGAGCAACGAAACTAGCTGTTTTGTCAACGATATCTGTTTAAAAATAAAATGTTAAGGTTCTAATCACATTAAACACTAAATATATACATAAGTACATGATAAACAGAGAAAAGGATACTTCGTACTTCTGGTGGAGGATAAATAATGCCAATTTTAGATTTTACCGATGGAGGAATAAATGCTGGAGTAATAGTAGGTACAGTAATATTAGCAGCGGATCCGCTACTGTCTCCGGTATTTGTTTGAGATAACTCGACTGGTGGCATCTGAAAGATCGAAACAAAAAGATAAACTGTAATAAAACATAGTTCTGGTGGTAAGGAAAAATGTCATACGGAAACATCAGTTATATACTAAACAATCTAACAGTCCAATCAGACTATGTTGGATTGTTTGAAGATGAAACTCTTGAGTGTAAGATATTGAGCCATTTTGTCTTTTACAAGCAAATACAAGAAATCTCAATCACAAATTTCTTCGCCTTTTGATCGCTAAGTTCAAAAGAATAATACGTCTTACGAAGAAAACTCAATCTGAAATCTACGTATCAGCTTCTGTCAAATTAGTCCTTAATAAAAAATTGTAAAATTTCTTGAAGAACCACGTGACAAATATGAAAAACATCTGAGCGGTTTGACAGCCATATGGTCTTTATCACATTTTTTCCTTATTGCCACCTATATTTTACTCTCTCAGAAGATCTTTTTCTACTGTGAGCTCCAAGAGGCGAAATAACTAAAGTAAAGAAACTAAATACACAAGAATAATCATAATAGCCGTTTTCAAATGCTGCTTCTTTGAACTAAGGATTGCATTAATCATTTTCTATTGGTTCGGTCGAAATTCAAACTACATATGCAGCGGAAGTAAAATAGAATTCGACTCTCGTGGAAGTGCTATTATAGTCTTGAAGCGTTTATTTATTTTAGAAATGAATGTTTATTCATACATTTTCATTATTTTAGAACGCTGTTGCTTTCTGTTCGCACTTCTAGTATTCGCACGGAGATCATAGTATGGTAGAGACACCGTCAACGTCTCCCTTACATAGGACGTATCAGTATCACCGTTATTTTCGTTTATCACAATCTCGCACGAGACATCAGCTCGTATGGTAGTTAGTTGAGATATGCTAGAAGGGAAAAGCTAGAAGAGTTGTTTGCTGCTTTGATGGCTAGTATCAAAGTTAGCATGTAGAGGAATGTTTTGACTTTTCATTTTTATATTGACTGAAATTAATTGGTATTATCCAAACATTTGTTCATCTTAATACTCATAGTTATGGCTCGCCGTAAGTGACGGTTCAGTAATAGTCTTTCGACGTATGGACATACTTTTAACAGGAGAGCTGGTTGAAAGAGTTTCGCACGATCTTAAGTGGAATGAATATGCCAGTGACACTGCTCTTACTTGTCGGCGCAAGCTGGGTGCACTGAGTCGTGTTTTCGGACTAGCTGCTCCATCAGAGGTTCGGTATTTATCTTTTTCCTATTCTTTCTAAACTAGACTATTGTTCTATCTTGTATGATAGTTCGCTTTCTCTTACTGTTCTTGATTCTGTAGAAAAGCTTACTTCTCGTGTTATCTGTCGCAATTCTGACTACCGTTCTTCTGGCTCTTCACTTGGTTATCATCGTCTTAGTCCTCTTTCTTTTATTATGTTCATCGTCCTTTGGCTCTTCACTTGGTTATCATCGTCTTAGTCCTCTTTCTTTTATTATGTTCATCGTCCTTATTCTTCTTTACATTGTCATCAATCGAAATATGTCCTTATTCCACCATCTGTAAATGGTTTTTCTCCACAAATAGTTTCTTCTGCCTTTTTTCATTCAACTGTCACTGACTGGAATAATCTTCCGGAGCCAGAGCGATTTTAAATGATAATAAAGAAGAAGAATGATTGACTCCGGAAGATTATTCCAGTCAGTGATAAATAAACAAAATAAAGAATAACAGCACTGGGTTTGTTTTTAACTGTAAATATAGCTACGTTCAACTGTAAAGATACTGAGATAGAGCGATTTTAAATGATAATAAAGCAGAAGAACGAATGACTATCTCAGTATCTTTACAGTTGAATGTAGCCATATTTACAGTTTCTCACTTTTCGTAAATAAATAAATATTGCTACTAATATTGTTTTACCAAGAGACAAATTTGAAACTTTTATTTAACTTGCGTGAACCACAGCTAAAGAATCTATTGAGAAACAATGGTCATTCAAATGCTGCATGCTGATTGTATTGTGTTGAAGCTCTTCCAGTGGAAGCAATATTTATGTAACACTTCAGAATAGTTTGATCATGTTTTATCTTGTATTAACTTTATCGCTTCTTTGCCTTTTCGACCAAAAATCAAAGGACAGTATCTGTTTTCGTCTATATGAAACTCATTCAAACTGATTTTTGAAAACAGATCGGAATTGATTGTGTTTACACGATCTCATGACGTTGGAACAATCTCGGGATCAGTCCACTCTACTTTCGCTTAGAAAGACATGAAAAAACACTTTTAACCTTTAACATAGTAACCTGTTATTATTACCATATTGAAAGAAAAGGATTAGTACTTTTTTATCAACAACAAACAACAAACAGATTTTATTATGAGTTTATACAATAATACCAAAAATAAAAGAGCCAAATAAATAATATTTGAGAGAAGCAGTCATAATTATCGAATAAAATAACTATTTATTCTTTATCTTTAATAAAAAAAATAATAATAATTAATACTTAATAATAATACTATTTATTCTTTGGTGAAGAATAAATAGTTATTTTATTCGACAATTATGGCTGCTTCTCTAAAATATTATTTAGTTCGTTTAGTGACTCTAACACTATTCAATTATAAAGAGCCAGCTTTTAGGTAAGAAACACAATGATAATATTTACGCTAATTAAAAATAACAAATTGTAACGAATTATACAACTGAGTTTTGAGAGTCGATATATTAATTGGAATAGTAGTCAGTTACTTTGATCATGGATTTTCTAAATTACAATAAAGCTGTTCACGCATCGGCACAAGATTTAACAAATAAAAAGCAATTTTGAGCAAAAGACAGTTGAGATAATATTAATATTGCACACATAAACTTAAATATTGACGGTAGATATGAGTCTGTAGACATCGCGTTATTGTTGTCAACATTACATGATGGAAATGCTTTATTTTTGTATTAATCCTTCTTTAATTAATATTGTTTCATCCCATATTAATTGCTTTAATTTTGGTATTGGATAATCATCGAATTCCATATCAATTGTAAATGGATGAGTGGCTACTGGTTCATCATTTGGCTCAAAATATTGTTTTAAATAAGGATGAGCTAAAGCATTGTGTACATCGATTCTTTTATGTGGATCAAATGTTAACAGTTTATCTAAAAGATCGATTGCATCCATTTCAGCATATGGATACAAAGTGTAAAATGGTTGTTTTGATCGAACTTTTAATGAAGCAATGTAATTGCGTGCTTTTTCATTCACGATTGATTTTAGATCTTGTTCATTTGGACTACCGACAACATTTAAAATAAGATTGATTTGATCAATGTAATGTTTACCTAAAATGAATGTTTTATTAGATTCAAACAAAAATGTATGCATAATTCAGTCTTTACCTGGAAATAAGGCTTTTCCAGAAATCATTTCGGCCAATATGCATCCAACTGACCACAAATCAATTGGTTTATTGTAACCCCTGGAAGATCAACAAAATTTTAAATTATTGAATAGACCAAAATAAATATGATTACCTAGCATTTAACATAATTTCTGGAGCACGATACCATCGTGTGGCAACCTAAACGATTGAACAAGATCACGATATAGGAAAAACTGTGATATCCATTGTTATCTATTGAAATAACTTACATATTCCGTCAGTACTCCGGAATGATTCACATTTGGATCTGAGATTCTCGCTAGGCCTAGAAAATAGAAGTGTGAATCTCTTCGATCAAATAGAATTGAAAATTATTGTAAGATACTAGGACCATTCGTCTTCGAACAATTAATCTCTTTTGCATTTAACGGAAAATTTGCCGCACAAATACATTGATTTTAAGACAAACTGTCCACCAGTTGCAAAAGAGACCAATTGTCTAAAATGAACTGAGCGATCGATTACACCATGGTCGTACCAAAGTCACATATTTTTAAATCGCAGTTTGTGTTCAATAGTAAATTGGACGGTTTTAAATCCCGATGTAGAACATTGGCCGAATGAATATATTTCAAACCTCGTAGAATTTGATATAAGAAATAGCAAATATGTTCTGAGCCTATAAAAAAATGAATAAATTCTTAGTAGTTGTTAATAGTTACTCTTTAAAAGTGGATATTTACTCAATTTTTGATGTTTAATTAATTTATACATATCACATTCCATAAGAGTTTGTACAATGTAGACATCTTTCATATTTTCAAATACATTCGATCTTAGTATATCTTGAATATTAATAACATTTTCATGTTTGAAACGTGATAATATTTTAATTTCGCGTAATGTTCGTTGACAAAAACATTGATGCTCAAATGGAGATAATTTTTTTATAGCTACTCTTTGACCTAGACAATTGTCTACACCGGAAACAACCATACCTAAATAAAACAGAGAAATAAAAAAAAAAGAAGTATAGTCTAATGCTATTCTTTATATGCTTTACTTACCGTAAGCACCTTCACCGATATATTTTAAATCTGTGTAACGAGGTCCAACTTCAAATACTTGTTCTTTTATTATTTCAGAAGTAGTCGATGTATCCGTAGGACTAATCATGATAATAAATTTTTATATACGAATCTTATCGCTATGACAATAGTACAACATTTAAAATGAAATCTAAAACAAAACATTCAGATTTTTTTTTCTTTAAACTATTAAATGGTTTTACTAATTGAATGTTTTTCAAGCACAATATAGTGAAAACATGTCGGTTCTATAAGAATTTTTTGAGTAATTGAAATGTCCAATTTGTATCCAATATAAGACTAAAAGATTTTGATGCGTCATTAAGATCGTTCCAACAGCTATTATTGTCACAATATTGTATTCTCAACTTTTTATTTTCATTATAAGTATAAGATTGAGCAATCTTTAACACATTTGCTCAAAATAGTTTATTTTTTGTTGACAATATGTCTCTTACAATTAACGAATATAACGATAGTATGAAACTATATACTAAAAATTAGACTTCAGGGCGTCTACCATCTTGTATTTTCAAATAAAAAAAAACAAAAGTTTACAGGATCTAACTATTTTCTTTTGTTTTCAACACATTATAGAATAATGGAATAGGAGAAATCTTCATTTTCTTACAATAAAACGGAAGAAACAACTCATTTTTTTTCTTTTTCACACAAGAAGAGGCGGAATTAGATAATTTTTCTAGACATTAATCAAGCAACACATAGGAGTTAAAGAGAAGACAGGTATATAGAAAGATGGAAACATAACGAATAGAAAAAAATAGTATTTATACAAAACCACATTTTGACATTAATTAATAAAAATCACAGCTCAAATTATTTGAAAAATTTGACTAAAATAAGTTAACCTTTTTGTGAAAAACAACAAGTGAGAAACATTACTGTTTCTCTGTTATAGAAAGTTTATAAAAAGTCTGATAAGTGATGTATTCATAAATTTGACATTACGTTATTAAAAAAACCAACGATAAATTACTATTCACAAATACGTGGGAATATATTTTAATAAAGTAAAGAAACGGAAGTACAAATCGTCATAGTTGTCACTTCTACGTTGAATACGCCAAAATGATTTTTTTGCTCAAAACATACGTACTACCACTTATTCTAAATTTAAGTCTGACTGACGTAAGAGTAAGTTTATATATAATGATTAACTAAAATAGAGTATAGGATACAAAATATTCAGACCTGTGCTTCAAATTTTTTATAAAGATAGATTTAACATAGAAAAATTAGTTCAATTACTTTAATTCCCATCTGAGAAGATTCACACTGTTGACTATTCAATGATATTTCAGCTATTTTTATTTTCTAGTGGAAATAAAATTTCTCAGTGGGAAAAGATTTTTATTCTAAAAACCTCGACATTCGATTGACACTGAAAATATGAGCAGAAAAAGTTTACCTGTATTGTGAAATTAATATACGTTTCTTTCAAAAAATTGCCTTTCTAATGAGAAATTTTATTTTTACCAGTAAACAAAAAAAACGGATATATCATGGAGTAGTCAACAGTGTGAATCTTCTCAGATGAGAATTAAAATAATTGAACTAATTCTTATCTATGTGCAAATCTATTTTATAGAATAGGTCTGAATTTCTGTATCCTATATATTCATTAATCATTATACACGAACTTAGTTACTCTTAGCAGCATGACATTTAAGAAAAGACTAGTGGATTAAGTACATGTCCTTCAAAGTGATCTCTTTTATGAAGTAAAGATCTTTAAATATTTTGAGAAGTGAAAGTGCGGCATTCATGGACATAAATACGGCGAGAACGCGATGCTCCTTGCTTTTGAAAGCTTTGCTGCAAAGCGGTTTTCTTACCCTAACAAGGATCACGCAGCTTAAAAACAACAACTTTCCCATCAGAAAAATGTACAAAATTTTCTTCGTATCTCTTCCTCCGACTCTGAGGCGCAAGATACGCCTCTATAAGCATCTCTTGAGATATATATGTTAAACTCAGACTAAAAATAATAGACATGTGTAATATCTTACTTCAGTATACACAAAGATCATATACAAATAGTAGGTGTCTTCTATTTATGAGTTGGTCTTATTTAGTAAATGCGAAAAGGGACCAGAAAGACAAAATCTATTATAAAAGTCTAACCATGATAAACTTGAAATAATTGTTGTGATAGGTTGTCTTGATACGTATTCTTTTACAAACATACTGGCTAAGGTAAATTAAATTTGGATCATATTATTCGGGAAGAAAAAAAGAGAAAAAACTCTACCTTTGTTAATAATGGAGTTGGTTAACATAAAATACTAAAGTTGATGATTAATTAATTTTATCGGTTCTACAGTCTGTATGTTTTTGCTATATAGTTCAATCTGAATGATCTTATATATGTATCAATAAGTAGTTTAGTCAGGACTCGAATTTCTTTTTTTTCTTCTTTTTTTTACTTTCTGCAACTTCTCGCTTACAATGACATGTCCAGCAACATTTGTGAGAGAGAGAGAGAGAGAGAGAGAGGGAGAGACAGAGAGACAGAGACAGACAGAGAGAAAACGAGAGAGAAAGAAAGAACAAGGAACGAATAATAGTCGTTTTTACACTATAGCATAATTTTCGGAAATGATTTTAACAAATGGAGAGTTACACACATCTACATTATACAGATCTATCTATATCAACGAAGAAAAAAGAATTCAGTAGTAACGTTAAACGATCTTGTAGTCTGACGTCAATTGTCGTGTGCTGAATAAGTAAAAAAGAAATAAAGAATGGAGGAAAAGTCTATTTGGGTAAAAAAAACAGTTGACGTTGTATTATACGGAGAAAAAAAATTTAGAATAGAAGAGCTATAAATATCGATTCTATTTCAGGATTCTGTATAAAGTAGAGCGTAGTCTATATCAATTTGTTTGAGTTGAAGATAAATCATTAAATAGTAAAAAAAATAGAACAATATATTCATTAAAAATATCTATCAAGACATGATGTACATATTTTAGTGTATTTAATGTATCCATAACTTGGGCTTTTTTGGAATGTTTTTGATCGTAATATCAATGTTTTGTGTGGGTAGATCCAAATAACTTCTGAAAATGTCAAACTAGGAAGAAAATGAGAAAAATATACAAGACATAAAATATATTCACGCTGACAATTCCAAAAATATCCAATGTTTTTACTAAATGTTAATAGGATACCACTAACAGACAATACTACACATAATATCAAACTATTTTTACAAGACACTTGATTATATACGCACATTCTTTTATATATATATATATATATTAACCAAGTTTAAAGATCGTCATATTTTTATGTTCATTATTGTATTTTCAATTATTTTTATATTTTTTTCATGGTGTATAAATTGCAATAGTGTTGTTAAGTTCAATAATATTACAAAAAGATGTTAAACGTCACATCATTTTTATAAAATTAAATAGGCGTCGAAACACGTATCTCGCTAAAATATTCATCTGAAAATGTCTATACTATTTTAACTCTGAGCAAGTTGTTGTATATAGGATTTATTTTGATTACTGTTATATTACCTAACAAAAAATGAATAACTTCCATGTTTGGTATCATTACCAAAAATTAGTAATTTATAATATTTATTTTTCCTATAAAATTTATATCAGTTTTATTATTATTCGAAAAAAAATAGTTTTTGTTTCTAATATACTCTATAATACTGTTCATTAAAAAAAAAAGACAAAATAAAGAATATATATATTTCCTTCCCACTGTTCGACCCGCTCCAGTAGTATTGATTGAAGCCATTCTTTTATTCATAATAAAAAAACAAAAAATGAAATAGAAATGCAAATGAGGATAGAAAATGGAATGATAGTTGAGAGTGAGTTACTTTTTAGATTGCTATGCACATAGATTGTTAAACATGCAGTAGACTAGTTATCCATAGATCTACTCGAGTGATTAAACGTAGCAATTTTATTTACAATTATTATAAAAATTGATTTAATATTCATCTCAGGATTATGGGATAAAATGCAACAGTATTATACATCACATATGCAACGTCGAAGAAAGATGAACATCATGCAAAATAATAATCGATCATACGTTATTTTATTTTTCTACTCATCAAATATTAACTTAACTGAATTAAGAAGAAAACAATTTTTTTTGCTGAGAATCTGGATTTAGACTTTATTTTCAACACGTCTTTTGACAATATGGAGAAAAAAAATCTGAAAAATACTAATGAGTTCATTTTTCAGAGAGTAAGCAATCAATAGCACGTTTTCTGAAGCCTTATCACGTAGTTTTGATTACTTCGATTATATTCTGCCTAAGAAAAAAAAACTATTTTTGAATCTCACAACGTTGTTTGACTACCATTAATATATTGAGCAGTAAAATAATAGAAAAAACGTTGTGGAAGTACGGGGGAAAGGTATGCATCACAGCTGATTGACAATGTTGAACATTGAAATGAAATTATGAGAATTTCCTGTTCTATGTAACTAATAATTTAGAATCGTTTAACATGACTAAAAAAAACGTTCAATATCTATTATAAACCTACGGATATCTACAAAAATTATGCAAAAATGTTATGCTTCACTCTTACTGAACGTAATAAGATAATATTAAATTATAAAGATTATCAGTATATGAAATGGCGAGAACGTAAAGCTCATAATGAACAGTATTGTTGTAGTAAAACTGATACAAGATAACAATATAACAAAACGAAAAGGTCCTATCTGAAAGGCAAATGCATGCAGATTTTTTGAAATATTATTTTGGCATACATAGTGCCAGGGAAACTTGAGTAGACGTGAGTAGGATAGCCCCAGTTCGATGGGGATACGGTACTGAGATCAACTGAAAAGTTTTTGGTACTGATCAGCCGACTTCTCAAGATTTTTAGTCAGAAAATTACGTTTTTCCCGAAATATCTTCTTTATTTTACAGACAATTTTTTAAAAACAGAACGTTCTTTTTCGTTTTAATACCTATTTAATTGCCTCACTGTCTACACTTTTGTATTACAAACGATCTATGTAACTTGAGCACAAGGATGAATTATCTTTTAAGATTTCTAATTGGCTTTTAATCAGTTTTATGAAAAAAAGCATTTCGCTTGTATTTCGATGACGAAAATTGTTTGATATTGTGGTCGGAACCTGAAAAAACGCATGGTCACGCCAACGTCTACTTGAGAAAGCGATGAAATTATTAGAGCAAAGATGGAACTACAGAGAAAAAAGCCATTCACGTGAAGAAAACATTTCTAAAAAGTCAGGAATTTCCGAAAAACCAGAGGTTTTCCGAATTTGCGAAAAAAACAGAAAAGTCACAAAGAACCTTATCCCTGCGTTTTAACGACAAACTTAGTGTGTTATCAAAATCAAGACTTTCGTTCATATTGTTGTCAATTTCTTATGTTGGATATACGTTTTCTGCGTTTGGTCGGTTGTTGATAAAATAACGAAGTGGATTTCTTTTTATTGATTTTAATAGCGCAAATGAAACGATATTGTAAATAATTGTTTGTAAGCCTTTTGTAAATGAAACTTACCGAGCCGATACACAGGTAAAAAACAACTGACATTTAATAGGACATGAATAGCTTATAAATGAAATGGCTAACAACAGGGTTATAATAGGCTTTTAATTGTGAAAAATGTTCAGTTAACAGGCACCATTTATTGTTCTTCATCTGACCTTTAATGATAGCCTAATATAACTCACCCTTTTGTTTCGCTGATCTCCCTACTATATATCTCACGTTGTTTTCCCATAGAAAACGTAGACTTTTGTTCTTCCTCGACTACATAATTCATCGAAACTTGTGTTGAGGAAACAGCTACTAGTTCTAGGTATGGTACCAGTGATGGCACCGATCACATCTAGTCAACCGAAAATGTTCAAAAATTTGAAAAGTCATTTATTTCATGGTGGTGGTCAGAAAGAAATTAGTCATGATCAGCAGTCGGATCTTTGGCCATAAACAGCCAATAATTACCCCAAAATGGCCATTAAACGATCACTCTTAAATGCTTGTTTTCAACCTGTTTCTTGGCCGTTAAAAAGATGACACTTTTAGGCATTAATACGTTCCCAGTTATAATGCCGAAAAATGGTCAAAAAACGGTGTTAATTAGCTAAAAAGTGTCATTTAAGACACATTTTGTGAATGGTTAATAGACAATAAATTACACCATTTTCAACGTCCTGGATACGTTGCAAAAGATGAAAGCTTTTTCCTAATATGTTTTCTATCGTCAAGTTTACGTTTTTCTTCACCTATAAACTTTCTTATTTCTATAAACTGTTGTATTTTATATAGAAAAATAAAAGAAAAATTGTCTCACCGTCGTTTTTACTAATATTTTTTCTTTTCGTCGTTCCTATACCCATAGTATTGAACAACTGCACTACTGCAAGCCGGTTCGAGACTGTACTGCTTTGCGAGATAAGCGCGAGATAAGCGCCACCGAGCCTGTTTGAGAGAAAAGGAGAACAGAAATGCACGAGAAGTAAGATCCGAGTATTATTTCGCCTACTTTGCTTAGGTAAGTGGAGAAAATGAACTAAAGATTCAGAAAACTAGGATATGGGCGGAACAAAAATCGCTTGCTCAAACTCAGACTTGATACTATTGATTATCTATATTTTAATTTTGAAACTGTGCTCCAAAATCAAAGCAGAAGCGAGCCACTTCACAAAATAATTAATTTCAAAGACTTTCTTCTGACTGCGAACAGAATTTGGTGAATAGTTCCTCTGATGAGCAGCATAACAGTAGCACTTCAGAATGTCCATCTTCTTTCTGTAAAACGTAACCAAAAAAATGCAGCAATCGGCGATCTATCAAGACGTGCCGGACAACGGTTCTCCCGTTTATTATTCCGGTAAAAGTGTGAAAGATTTCTCACACTTACATACAGCAGAAAATGCTGTAGAATGCAAAAAGAAAAAACATGGACTACAGGAAAACCATGGCACAGTGTGCATTTTTCGCATTGCAGGCGAACATGTAACTTTTGGCCCTTCTTTTGCTCAGAGGTGATTGTATACCTCTCCGAAAATCACCTTTAAGAAAATAAAGCAGTTTTGGAAAAAAACTTTTCGACGAAAAACACCTGAGGCAGACCCTTGCCCACATTTCTTCGAGAAATTTTATTGGTTAGAAAATATGATGTGTCATACATCTTCCGACGCAGTTTCACGTGCTGGTTCCGAATATGCCATTGGTTTTGAATAGACATGCTTTGGAGTCGGAAAAAGAGGAATTTAGCTGCAGAATCAAGGTTTTTGGAAACTTTTTGGAAAACCTGTCATACGGTTCAGGAGCGTTTTCGCTAATTTTCGCTAACAGTGGTGATAGAGGGTACGTAAGAGAATATTCTGTCAAAGTTTGAACTGGTTTGGCTTTGTACTAAGGGGCGCGTGTTCATTTTACTAAACAAAGTCGTTGGGAAAACCTCTTCAAAAAACTTTATATTTTTCTGAAACGTTGTCAATGCAGATTATGAAAATTTTTTATGAATACGAATAAATAGCAGACGGTGTGTAGATTCAGAATATGTGTCACTTTTGCCTAACGATTCGTTCACTTTTGTGAAAAATGAAGTTTACAAATAATGGCAGTGTTTTCTAGACTAATTTTTGGTCAGCTGATTTTTTCACAATAATTAAGTTAAGTATCAAGATTTTTTATGCCACCGAATAGAGCATGTCTTGAAGTTTATTCAGCACTAATTGAAAAAACTCCACCTTCGTTTTTACCTAATATCCACCTGGATACACATCGTGCGTGGGTTTTACGTCATGATCATGTTGTCGTTCAACATGACGTAATATGACGTAAAAACATGACGTAAAACATGTCCTTATTGTCGGTTATAATGACAGTGAACTGTAAAAAACTAATTATAACACAACTTTTATTAAAATGTTTTTGACGGTTAATAACCGTTCTAACCTGACCCCTTTTACAACCAAACGGTTAAAACGTCAAGTCGACCTGGAGTTTTAACCGTTAGGTTGGAAAAAACGTCGGGTTAGATCAAAACCTGCGTTTTTTTCAGTATGTAGTGAGCGAAAAAAAGCGACATTTCTTTCATCTTATTGGTTAGTTTTAAGTACTGACAAATGATGTAAGCGAAAGAAGTTTTTAGTTCATTCCGTACTGATGCACGCCTGCGTGTCTGTGCTGAAGATAATATCGATAATAGATATAATGAATAAAAAAGATTTGGGCTATTTCCAAGGTCAAAAATAAGTGGAAAATGCATATCCTTTGATTAATTGAAGAAACTGTTTTGTTTCCATTATGCCTCGGATAACTTTATTTTTATTGACTTTGCACTACCACTTACAGGAATTATATTTTACATTTTTTCTAACGTTCGACTCCTATTTGCGACTCAGTTAATCCTCCTGTTTTCAAGTCTGCAGCTTCATAGATAAATAAAGAATAGAGCTTATTGGCAAATGTCTAACTACATAATGAATTATGAGGGAGTACTAATCTGAGTTGTAGAATTTCGATATTAAGGTTAATATCTAATATCATAATACTTTTAATCATGTTGCAAATATCTACTAATACGAAAAAGTTCGTGGTCGACTAAGAACACACTCACATTTAAGTGAGATGAACACGTGACACAGTTAAGTCGGATGAAGCTCGTTTAGTCATTGTTTTTTAGGCATCTAACCTCTGATCGTTCTTTACGCACCGGTGATTATGATTTAGCATGCATGTCAGAGACTATGTGAGAAGTTTTGCAGGTGTTTATACAAATAAGACAACGCAGTTTGTTGTTTGTTGGACCGTTACCAAAATCCTATAATATAGGCAATTGATTGTTCCGCTATATGAAAAATGGAAAGAAGTCAAACATAAGACTCCTAGAACGAACTTGATATGAAAAAATATTAGAAAAAGGAAAAATGCACTTTTGACACTATTTATTAAGTTTAAGAAGTCATCAGAGATCAGGAGAATGTTGGACTACTAAATACTTTCAGTGATTCAAAGAAAGAGATCCCTCCATAATAGAAAAAAACATTTTGTTTCATATCGAAGAAAGAATGAAATGCACGAAATATGTGATAGCGTGTTCTCTAAAAGACAACGATAGTAGTTCTTACAATACACAGTGAAAAAGTCTTTGGCAATAGAAATATAAACTACCAGTATCTAGAATAAGAACTAATAAACTTTCTGTTTTTAGATTAATGTTTGAGAAATGGATAATGTAGGGAAATTATGTGACGTTCTGGACGTCGACAATCAAACGATTTATCATAATATTCCGTTTTAATGGATTGTCCATATATTCAAACGTCGCAAGTTTGTCGAAAAATGAAGATTTTGAATTTAAAAAGCCATCATCGGATATATAAACTAGCAAAAAATCATTGCTTTATTAACCCAATGATAAACGTTACCCAAGAAACGATGATATTTACAGATAAATTCGAAAATTAAGTGGAAAAACATATATAGACTCGGCTGGAGACCGAATATGTGTGTCTGATTTAGGCAAACATGCATAGCAAGCAAATACGCGTTGCTTATGGTTTACTCTAGACACTACCAAAACAAATTTTAATTATGGAAAAAAATTCGAGAATGTCCAGTTGTCATGCCATAACAAAATTGATGATATTCAATATTGAAAACAGGAAAATATGTCCTATCACTTTTCAAGAATGAAATATCCTCAAGCAATGAATTTGATGAACCGCAACACCATCTTCTACAAAGTAAACGATACTATTGCGAGTTTCTTTTACTTTGATTTGTTTGTTGTTACTAAGATACTTTTCTCTTAGCCAGAAGAAATGATACACAGTTGTTATTTTTTGCTTTTCCTATCAGCGAGAAGAAGTTTTCTCCTTTTTTCCTTGAGAAAACCAGCTGAAATAAGTTGATTTTAGTTTACTTTTCTCTTTTGCTATGTCATAACAACCTTTTTCTGACCGTTATGAACTGTTGTAAAAGTTCCTGCATCGATCAGCGCAACGAATATGTTTTCATCTGCATCTGTGTTTTGTTAAATGTATTTGTTCAGCATATAAATTGTTGTAGAGGATTTTCTTTTCTACACCATAGAACGTGAAATTGTGCCATCGTTGTGCAATAACATCAATGAAACGAACGACTAATATAAATACGAGTGTATTTCAACATATTTACTAATCGCGTTCTCTTCGAGATAACGTCACTTTCTCTTCTTATTACCTTTCAATATTCGACATTTAGTTGTTTTTTATTTTATTTGTTAGCAAGTTGTCATTTTCAAACATATTGGCAAATAAAAGTCATTCTCGCAGCCAACTCTTACATTTAAAACTATACATTTTCTTTTTGTTTAGAGATGGCCAGAACTAAACAAACTGCAAGAAAATCGACTGGTGGAAAAGCTCCTAGAAAAACGGTGGCATTTCAGTCATATGCAAAACGTCAAAAAGCCATTGCTCAAACAACTGGTAAACAGTTAACAGAAGCTCAGTTGGAAGAACAAGCACCCACTGCTGTGACACATGATGTTTCATATGAAAGTAGTTTTTATGCTCATTATTTTCAAACTGGTATTGAAAGTGAAAAAATATTTGCGCCTTACTACAGTGTGGCAAGTACAACCGATCCATCGAATGGTGATGTTCAGAACTGGCTTAGTTTTTATTTTAACAGTAAATATGATGGTTCAGGTATCAAAGAAAATCGTCCTCAATTAAATTTGGTTATTACATTAGATATTTCGGGCAGTATGAGCTCACCATTCGATGGTGAAAGAGATAAAACAAAAATTCAAGTTGCACAACAATCACTATTAACACTAATGAAACAATTACGTTCAACAGATTCATTGGGAATTGTTTTGTTTAATCATGATGCAACTGTTTTGCAACCATTACAAAAATGGAGTGACGTTGATTCAATACAATTGGAGAAAAAAATTTTAAAACTAAGAGGAGATGGAGGAACAAATATCACAAAGGCAATTCAATCTGCAACTGCTTTATATAAAGAGGCAAAAGAAGGCAATAGTTCAAGCAGTAGAATATTTTTTCTAACCGATATGGAAGTTAGCCGAGATGATGGTGAAAGTTTTTTGAATATAATTCAAAAAAATAGTGATAATGCATTATGGTCAACAGTTGTCGGTGTTGGACTTGATTTAGGAGAAAATGTAATTCAAACAGTTAGTAAAACAGCTGGATGTAATTATTGTAATGTTCGATCAACAACAACATTTGACGAATTGATGAATGCTGAATTTGGTTATACTGTTACACCATTAGCGTTTAATATACAATTGAAAATGGATTCAAAACGATATTTTGTTCAAGCCGGTTATGGTTCACCGGAAGTTCAAAATTTGAAAAGTGGTGAAACATTAACGTTGTCAACCGAATTTCCATCACCAAAAAATTTGAACGGTGAAACACGAGCTGGATGTTATTTATTAAATATAACAGACAGAAATAAGACTGATAAAAAAACAACAGAACCATTCAAAATGATTGTGTCATGGGATAATACATCAGGTTTACGTCAAACAGATGAACAAACATTACAATTTATCCCAAATAATTATGGAAATTCTGGAATTAGAAAAGCAATATTGTTGGTACGATATACCGAGTTTATTAAAAAATATTTAGAGCTGAGAAATTCGGATGCAACCGCGTCTGCTAATATACTTGAACAATATCAAGAAATGAGAAAAAAATTTCCAAAAATTGTTGAACATTTTAAACAAGAAATGGATCTAATTGGAGATCCATCACTCAATGATGAAGAATACAAACATCTTCTTGATATAGCTAAAATGGATGACATTCCATTGAATAACGATATAGTTGCAACTCCTGAACCTGCAACTACAACTGTACCTGTTCTATCAAATGAAGTATGCGAAAGTGGTACAAAACGAAAACATGATGGTGGTGGTGATGATGAGAAAATAAATTTGGAAGCACTACCGAGAAAACAATTGCAAAATTTAGCAAAAATACACAATATTAAAGCGAATTTGAAAAATGATGAAATTATCCTACAACTGAAAGCAATTGTGGGTAAAAATAAACGTGAAAAAGCAACGACAAGCAAAGATGACGATGTTAATTTGTGTTGTGTATGTTTAACAGCAATTAGTTCTATTGTTCTTGAACCTTGTAAACACAATTGCTTATGTGCGGATTGTTTCAAAAATGGTATTGACAAATGTCCATTGTGTCGTGAAAATATTACGGCTAAAACAGAAGTATTTTTATAACAATCTTATATTTGAATGAATAACATTTCTAAATAGATTGTGTCGCTTTATTTATTCCGTTTTTGTTTGATTTTGACGCTTTTATGGGCTTCTTACCGCCTTTGCTTGCGAAGAAAAAAACCTGTAAAACTGGTTAATATTGTAGAAGAAATAAACAGTGAATTTTAAACTTTATGGAAGATTTGAAGGCATTCTTATTTTCAATAACAAAAAGATTTTTACTAAAAAAGAAATGCACTATTTGATGAAAACTAGGATCTCTGCTGAAATTGAGATCTACAAAACCGAGAACTTTTTCCTTTGCAATTTTTTCTATTCAACAGTTGTGTTTCCAAAGAATTTACTTGAGATTATTTTGGTTTTAGGGCTAGCTCTCAGAGGTAAGAGCTTGTGGTCGTCATGGAAACTTCATGTGAAAAATTACAGAACGAAAGAAAATTTTTTTATGTTCCACTGGACAAAAACAAATTTCCAGAACAATGGGGAACTGATCATATAACGCATAATGTTCTGTAGGGAAGCAGTAAACCTGGAAAAATATATTCACCCTTTATATCATATAGTACTCTAATGCAGCTCAGTTTTATAATAATTTCAAAAATACTTGATATTCTGATACGCAGATCAACTACTACTGTAGAAATTTTGAAATTGCAAGTCAAATTAGCCGAAAAGTTTTCGTTCAAGTCAGTCTAGCCATGCGAAGAAGAGTATCAGGTTAAGCTAAGTTTGGATTTGCGCAGCTGTGCTACTAGTATGACAGATAATACAAAAATATCAACTTAGATTTTCCACTTTAGATATTTTTCTTTTGTATATTGACAAAAATGACAGATATTGAAAGTGAAAAAAGGAAAGCAAATCCGAATATTGTTAATATTCATAATCCATTTTTTTTATGGGATCTGAATGATGATGAAGATATACTGGCAGCAGTAAACACATTAAATGAAACCGATCGTAGTCGTTTATATTGGACATGTCATTATCGAAAACGTGATAAAATATGTAACTTTTTGTTAGAAAATTATTCGGGTGTTCGAATAGCACATGATGCAATGCAAATGATTAGTCAGTTTACAAAACATCCTGATAAACAAGTTGATTTTTCCAACGTACCACTTCCATTTCCCTTGCCAACATCACCCAATTTTATCGTATATGAAATTAAAGAGCCATCATTTATTCCATCGGCAGGAAAACCGTTAAAATTTAATGTTTATGATCGTGAAAAGAATAAAAAATGTGTCATCTACAAGCACGGTGATGAACTCGAGCAGGATGCGTTGGTTATTGCTGTTATGAAAGAAATGAATTGTATATTTAAAGAAGAATCTGTTGATGCTGAAGCTGTTCTCTATGAAGTAAGTGAAACACTCACGTTTGAATTTTAATATATTGACTGTCATTTATTTAGGTTCTTCCAATTGATAAAACCGAAGGTTTAATTGAATGTGTAGAGAATGCGCATCCATTTTTAGAATTTGTAAAGGCGAAAAACGGAACTGCCTCTAAAAATGGTGAAAGTACTGATGATTTGAAACAATTTATTGAAAAACGACCAGAAGGTCGTGCGAATCTATTACGTTCGTTTCTTGGTTTTGTTGTATCCGGTATTCTATTGCGTCTAGCAGATAGACATGATGATAACATTTTAATAACAGATGATGGAAAAATATTGCACATCGATTTTGGAAAAGCATTTGGTCAGTTGACAAAATTAGAACGTTTATTAAGCCTTTTTATGGATATACCAAATTCACCATTCTCGGAAGATGTCTTTATCGGTAGGTGAATAGTTGGACTATAGGTTAAGAGAAAGCGACGTAGAACTATCAATAATAGAAACAACAATTTTATATTTCTAGCTATAATTGGTAATGATGATGAAGAACAAACATCGAAATTATGGGAAGAAATTAAAGATCGTATATGGTTATGTTTTGATGCATTGAGGAAACATAAAAATCGTTTTCGTCCATTGGAAGAGAAAGATGATCATTTTCATGAGACATTAATGGTTTCATTGAACGACGAAAAAGCACGAGAGGCATTGAATGTTGAAATTGAAAAATGTTATAATAATCGATTCAATGCTGCTAGAGGTTATTATTACAATGCACAACAAAATTTTGTCAGTGGATAAAGATAAAGTTAAAATTTTTTATTTAAATATTAAACTCGGTGTTCAGATGTTGGTATTCACATCTTTATTTGTCATATATTCTAGCACACCATTATCCATTAATGATGTCAACTCGTTGATTCAATTTTTAGAGAACGTTTATTTAACTATTATTCATTTTTTTGTTATCATGTATTGCATTTCTTGTTGCTGTGATATGAGAAAGATTTTTGAACAAATACAGAATAGTTTAGATAAGTATTTGAACAATCGCAATAGAAGGTAGGATCTTCTGGAAAATGACAACAACAAGGCATCGGTGCAACGTTGATCAACCGTTTAAACAAAATTTTTTACAATAAATGAATGTCTGACATTCAATACCACATTTTAAAGCTGCAAAGTCGACCCTATAAATTCTAATCGATCGTCAACACTTGTAAATGAAGAAGTTCTACAAAATTTTCTTTCATAATACATTCAAAGCATGGTTTAAAAGTTAGAAATTAAAATTTGCGACTAGCGCCCTCTGCTCTTTACACCAATGTTATCCGCAGAGTAATTGTTTCAGGTAATGTGAATTCTAGACTAAAAAACCTGTTATGATATCATTTCTAGACTTATTAAACGTTTCTATGCATGCATGCGACTGGGTGTTGTAGACCAAATGAGAATAATCCAGTGACAGCTGGGTATATTGTGGAGAAATGGAAAGCTTCTTCTAATTGTTTATCCGCATCCGCATGCTAATGTTTTTATATGGATCTTTCTTGCTAAGACATGTAAGCGTTCAAGTTCTGTTTGCTAAAGAACGAGACGTGCTCCCTATGTTCTTTTCAACTGTCTCTACTAATTGCTTTTCCAGATATCTTTATAATTTCGGTGGAATGTTTTTAATAGGAATTTTTTTTCAGAGTGGAACTTTCCACTTTGCTGTTAGCATCAAAGTGGGATTTTCCACTTTGATATGAAATGTAAAGTGGATAAAATGGGAACAGTTGAAATTTTTTGTCTAATAGCGGCCAAAAGAGATTTTTTTTATCGTCACAGGGGTTTCGTTTTACCACTTTCAGTTAAATGGACCGAAATTAACATCTCTACCCTGATCAATTACAAATGTAACAACAAACATCTTAGATGACTCATTTAAAACAAAATGTAACTAAAACAATAGCTATAAGTTGAACACTTTTGAACAAAAAGAAACGCAGCAAAACTTTTATATGTTTAGATAGAGGCCACAAATCCTTTTTGACTAATATTCTGCTTATGTTAATCATCAGACACTAGCCATGTCGTATTATGATGAAAATTAGAGGATTAAACAGAAATTATACTGAGTCTCTCGCTCATAAGTGTTCAACAAACAGAGATCGATGGGTTAATTTTGTAAAAAAGCAGAAAATATGAAAAAAAGGTAAAGTGGAAATTTTCAAAAGCAAAGTGGAAAACAAAGTGCGATGTACTTTTCTCAGTGTGGAAAACAGAATGGAAATTCATTATTCGAAATGAAAATCCATTTTGCTCTCGCTTGTCCGACTAATCATTAAAAACACCCGGTTCTTTGTGCATGCAAGTTAGTTTTTGGAAAAATGGATTTTTTTTAAGATAGCATCTCATTACCATTTCGAGAATAAAGTATACATTGTTCTACAGTGATCAAATCTATTTTTTTCTGAATTATGTCCACAATGTATCCACCAGCTGCTTCTCCCTTACCTAATCAGAAAAATGTGCGAACAAGCGTGAATCCTGAAACGATTCAAAAGGTAATAGTTTCCGATCTTCAGTTGATACCTGTACTATCTGAGTTATATGTGCCATCTTAGGTGTTGGAAGAAAATTCTCATTTAATATCAATGATTATGGATTATCAAAGTAAAGGTCGAACAATGGAATGTATGGAGTAAGTGTGTTTCAACTCAAAGCTAAATGAAAGGACGATGAATAACTGTGAGATTTTATTTTATTTTTCAAGGCATCAACGAATATTACATCGAAATTTAAGTTATTTAATACAATTTGCTCCTGCAAACGAACAAATTCATTCATCATCTTTACTAGTATGTGTAGAATTTTAGTTGTGGCCGATTTGTTTTCTTATAAACGTGAAATATTGAAATAAACTACAATACAGCTCAAAATATACTGATTAAAACTGATCCATTGTAAAGAAATAGGAAAATGAGGCAGACTGATATAGCTGTTCTGCATTGCAATAGTGTTTTCAATCTAATAGATCAATGATTTTTCGTTTTTTTCTAGCCACCAGAAGCGTTTATAACTGCATCATCGACAAACGGACCCATATCAACACAGGTAAACAAATACTTTCATAATTCAACTTTAGAAAGATAATTTTTCACATTGAGATAATTTTTCCTTTTGCTTTATTTTTCTTTCAGACTACCTCGAGTGGAATGATGCACCCAAACCAGCAATCATCTCAAACGACTATTCCAATATCGACAAATTCTGATCAAAGTAGGTATTTTATGATGCATCTACCTTACTGAATTTCTAATAACTATTTTAGTGTATCGAACAAATACAAATAGTCCCGGCTCAAACAATCTTATCACGAATAGCAAAAGTCCTCTCCCATTACCACCAAATCCGTTTCAATCTCAAAATTCAACTCCATCCCAGCAACAACCAACAATATATCCTCAGTCAAATTCTACTGTTCAGCAGCGTTCTCCAGCTGCTCAAAACGGTCCATCAGCGTCACCTAAAGCACCAACTCCTCAGCCATCAATTTCAGCTTCGCATCATTTGTCAGCCATGTCTCAACAACAACAACAAGCGAACGCAGCTTATCCAATACGTCAACAATATCCTACACTCCAGCAACCAATGATCAATGCAATACCTCCAACAACTCAACAGCAGCAACAAATGCAACCTCCACGACAAAATTCTATGATGAATGGAAATGATCATCACAATCAAATTCAACATCAATCGATGAGCCCAGCAGCACAGCACTTTATTCAACCAAACTCGCCTTATGTCGTACAACAAACACCCCAGCATTATACGAGCGGCAATCAACAAACAAGTATGATGAATGGAATGAATTATGGTCTTTCACAAAATGGAATGCAAATACCTCAGCAACAGCATTATGTAAATCAAGGATTATATCAGAGTATGTTCTAATCTGAAAACTTCTCTAAATTATACTCATAGAATTTGTTTTCTCTTCACTGTTTAGATCCATCAATGAATAGTCTTACAAAGCCAAATTCTCCTTTGAATACACAAAATCAAATATTACAACAACCACCACAGCAAGTATCTAATTCACAGTCGTCGTCACAAAGTACAAGTCCTAAAATTAATAATCAAGTGACAAATTCTCAAGTATTAAATCAAAATCAGCCTCTCCCAAACACAACAACTCAAAATATTGTGGGTAATCCAATACCACCTCCAAATCATCAAATACAGCAACAGCAACATTTATCTCAAATGTCTCAAATGAATTCCATGTATGGCAGTGTGGGACATAATCCTTACTCTCAACAACATCCACAAATGCACGCTGGTGGCCAATATATGAATCCATCATATCATCCATATGCTCAAACACAAATGAATCAAATGGGTGGAGGAAATAGAATGATGATGCATGCTCCAGCTGGCTATGGATACACCATGCCTCAACAACAACAGCAGCCACCTCCTCAAGGGATGATGGGTGGTCATGGAATAAATCAATATGGATCTTACGGACAATAAGATTAAAAAGCTCGTAGATATAGTGGAAAATCTCAGTTTTTATGCTCTTTCTTTTTTCGATATGTTTTTTCAAAGCATGTGCTTCGTATTTCGATGTCATTTTTCCTATCGATATCATCTGGTATTTATTTTGTTTTTGTGACAGGTGACATTATTGTTAAAGTATTGTTTTTTTCATCAGAGTATGTATATTCTTCAGTATTAACGCAGCAGCAACAAAAATGTTCTCCACTGTCACGTTATGGATTTCTTTTTTATATTAGATCTCAAAAGAAATTTTTCTAATAGAGATCGATTGCCAATTACGTTATAGTGAATCGGTATTTCTCGTTTTGTTCCCTAGTATTATCCTAGGGATTTATTCTTTTTATGTATCTAGTGTGTATTGTTGTTATTGTTTATTTAAATTAGTTGTTATTGCGAAAACACACACTTGACTCGCCGTTTATATCGTAATTGTTTTTAACTCTGTTTCACAGTCCGTCTTTTCTCCTCTTTGTATGACCTTCTTTCTCCTTTTCTTTCTCTTTCGAGAAAATGAATTATTTATTCCTCGAAAGTTTTTGTGTATCGTATTGTTCGTCTCTGTTTCTAGTCAAATGATTTAAATAAACTTTTAAAAAGAACCTAAGCAAATACATCAACCATTTATGAATATAATTAATTGCTCCAGAAAGATGATCAGGAAATCCTATTAGCGTTAAAATGTCGCAGATATGTTTAAAAAATCATGCGAATTTGACAGTTGAAAGGCTGTAGTGTGACTGGATCACCGATCACAAAAGCAGAAAATCGTTTTACATCCCACACGTAGAATTGCTATAGTTGAAAGGCAACAGATGGGGTTGTTGCAATACATTTGATGAGCATCGTCTCTTCTCATTTAGCCACCAAGAATCTAAATGCTTAACAATAAGAAACAATCTCGAGTACTTTTTTCTGGTTTTTTATTCATTTTTCGTTTAGGAATGTCAAAAATTTTCATTTCTTTTCACGATCCAATCTCTGGTTACAACTCTGATGGTGATGATAACATAATATCAGATAAGAGTTAATTCAAATAATTATTATTATTTGACTTGTTCTTTGTTGTTACTCTTTAAGATGATAGGAGAGAATGCTGCTTTGATTCATACAATAAATTTAATTCTTCATATACTGCTATTTGTGCTTTCTACTTCTTTTTACAGTTATAACAGTGGAATCGTTAGAAAATATTATCTAGCGTTCTGTTTTTCCTGAAAAATTATTTTGTTTTGTTACTTCTCGACATTATACACGAAGAATTAGACAGCGTCATATGCATTGAATTTTTGACTTGCAAACAATCGTTTTATATCTTACCGATAGTATAATTTATAATGATTCACAGATCCAATAGTCGATGATATTATTGTTCGACAAACCTTAGTCTGATGAGAGCTCACTACACGTTTTTTTCGAAAATATGAGAACAACAAGTACATATACGATTATCATAAATAACACATTTATCGCAAACAAAAAGTTTATATACCACTGTACAAAAAGAACAACAAATAAAACAATAATCCTTTTTTCACTTCTGGTAAAAGAAGTTGTACCTCTTTTTGACAATAAAAGTCATATCAGTTTTAATATTTTGACCAATGAAAAACACTTTTACTAATTTACCAATTGACACCGTTTCTATCGCGATTGAATCCGAGAAAATTTTGATTGAATATAACGGAAGCAAGACTAGCATAACTTGGAATTACTATTTGTTCTTCTGTAAATTCTAATTTTGGTAAATTATTGTCACGACGATAGGTATTAAGTGCTGAAAGTAAAAGAAGTGATATCAATTCAATTTATACTATCAAGCAGAAAGTTTCTACCAGTCTCAAGTGATTCAATAAATTCATCGCAATTGTATGTTGTTGTTTCTTTTTCTTTGTCATTGTATGCCAAATGATGAGATGTAAATGTGTGAGAACCAGTTTGTATAAATGGATTCCACCTTTCAAGAAATGTTGGCTCTTCTCCGTGTACAATTCGACAGCCACCATAAATATACTCGCTTCAAATTTAAGAAAAACAAAAAAAAATAGTATGTCGAGTTAGTTTAGCTCATATTATATTCGTACCCCATTATCGATTTTGGCGGATATTTATATGGACCAAATACCACTGATTTTATATCATCAAATCTTATTGATTGAGTATAGATAATTCTGTTACGAATAAAATTATACCGAACGATAAGTATATGATTTTGCATTAACGTTACGATAACCTCACGATGCATGTCCCAATGATCTATGCTGAAATGAAAAAAAACAGTATGCTAAATTCAAAATGCTCATGAGATATTTTGATATTTCTGCTTACTCAGTTAATAACCATGAACGTTTCATAAGTTGATTTCGATCATCCATTGACAATTCTTGATTTGGAAATAAAATTTTGTGTATCAGACTTAATGCTTTTTCGAATCCTTGATCCTGGAATTAACAAATCAAATCAATAATGTTCGCTTATATACTCTTGAACATACCTTATATGAAAAGAATTTTGATGCATGATAATCAAAACAATGTATTCTGCCATCAGCATTGTTTACCGATGATCGACTTGTTATTGAACGATTTGTACGTGTACTTTGCGGTCGTTGTTGACGATCAAACGGTTTCGGTTCTACATTACTATCAATATCATCGTCGTACACAAAATTTGGATTAACAACAGGATTTGTCATTTTTTCAAAAATAGGTTCAATAGTATTCACGTGTTCAATCTTTTTAGACTCGTCAACCATATTTATTAGTAATTATATCTGAAACAAACATATAAATCTGAAGAAAACAATAAAGAAATTAAACCATAGAGCTGCGTCAAATAAGAAGTGTTAGTCGACTTTCACATCGGCAACGACGACTTCTAGACGAATAAATTTGGGATAACTTATTATATGTTTTTAGAAAAAAACATCATTTCTAGAATTCAAATCCCAAAAAGTTTTCTGATAGGTAGAGATGATGCAAAGTTAAGAATTTTTAGACTTCGATAACGACGTGTCTAAAACCTTTATGCTGACTACCTGATACTCTCCGAACGACAAATTGTTTCAATCAGATACTCTAGACATTCCCAACGATATACTACGTTACGTTCACATTGAAAAATTTCCAGCGCGACACATACTGAACTATGCTCATAGCGCAAAACTAATTAACTTTCTGTCTCTGAATAGTCAGTCTCAGACAAACCTACTTATCATTTCGGCAGTAGCAGGTACTCTTTAACAGTTTTCATTATTAATCGCATTTCCATTACTTGCTTTAACCCGCGTGTCAACATACTTCTAATCGGTATCATTGTCCTGATGAATGTACTCATGCGTGAGAACTCGAAAAGTACTCTGCTAGCAAAACCGGACGAGTATTCATATGTATTCATACATTTTGTATAATCACTGAGTACTCACATGAGTACTTAAGAGTGAGTAATGAGTACCGTGGGGATACTTTGAGTACTCATGCTAGGGTATTGTTGAATACGCATATAACGTTTGGCAAAATACTCATGAGTATTGTTTATCTGGTATTTTCATATAGAGAAGTGATCTCAGGCAGCCAGAGTTGGACTACAAGTCTTTTCACAGACGAGTCCATTTTGGACTATATACAAAGAGATCAACGAGAAAAATATCATATAAATATTCTATATTTCTTTACTAAATTCTGCGTTCTTTATACAGGTTCATTTTTACAAAACAGAATGGTAAATGAATATTTTTTGAGTACTCACTGAGTAAAAATACTCAAAAGTTGTTAGAACTCATATGAGTACTCATGGACGAATTATGAGTAAAGTCTTACTCATAGTATGAGTAGTTTCCCTACGGTGAGGATATTACATTGTATCTGCTGATACTCAACTAGAAAATACCATTACTCAGTCAAGTAAAATATGAAGCTGAAAATCTGTCGATTCTTATTATGCATAACTTGACTAAGTTCCATTAATACAAGGTTTTAGAGAAGACTTTTGTCTGCTAGCTACCCTAGTGGAACTTCTTGTAAGCAAGGTCTTGACTACTTGCGTCTTTTCAGTAAGACCTTGGTAAGAAAATCTAGGAATTCAAGTAACCTCAAGAATCCAAGATCTTGAACTTCTTGAAATTTCCTGACTTCTTGTACCAAGATCTTGATTAAGATCTTGAATTGTTGAATATTGTACCCAAGATCTTGGAAATTCTTCAATCATCGTTTTGTTTTACACTCTTGCGTAAATGTACGTGCGAATATTTTCACACTTAGAATAATTTTAACTTTTTTTCTTTCTTGAACATAGTTGTTTAAGCAAGAACCTATGATTCTATATGATCGTATCTGATCGCTATGGCTGTCATAAATGAAAACACAATGTAAAGAAAATTTTTATTTAACACGTTGCAACATCTTGAGTGGATGCGCTGAAGATCTTGAAATTTCTGTTTCCACGATCTTGGGTACAAGAAGTTTCAGTAGGGTAGACATCAGAACTCCTAAATCGTGCGCTCGGCCCGAGATTGACTCGCTTTAGGCCATGCTAGGTCGTCCCAGACATTTTTCAGGTCAAAGGAGCCAACGATTTTTTCGGGTCAGCTGGGTCTGAGAAATTTTAAAAGTTTTCTCCATATTTTCAGTTAAATTTGGCTATTTCCTAGTAACAGTAGATGTTACTATTATTCTGTGTCAAGAAAATACTTCTATTTTCTTAATTAACTAATATTGCTGCTGGACCAATCTTTAGCAAAGGTTTTTCTGCGTTTTTGCTATAAAAAAGTTGAATTTAGTCTAAAAAAACTTACGATGGGGCTCGAGCCGGGTGAGCCACGAAAGACTATCGAGCAGACCAGACCAACCAACTTAGCATGATGAGTAGGGCAGGCCTCAACTTTTTCCTATTGAAAAGCTTGTTCCACACGCAGAACAGGTTATTCACCGTTTCATGTGGAATCACAGAAGATATGTAATATAAGGCTGGCTCACTAAAAATAACACGAAGAAGTGGAGTTTGAATTCTATAACCTCAACTTAGAAACGGGAAAAACAGGTTCAATAAAATTGAAGGGAGCATTTCAAAATTTATGCTGCTTCTCTATTTTTTAAATATATATCTTTCATATAATTTAAATATATATGAAGTCAAGGTCTTGATTCAAGTTCCACGAGGCAACTGAGAACCACATAGCACCATTTCAACTATCGAAATAGACTCTAATCTACATGTCTCCACTTACCAGTGTAGATAATCTTTTAATCACTGAATATGACATCAATTATGTACGAGAAATAGAGCGTTTTCTGTAGGTTTATGTGATGTCTCCGGCTATTTATTTGTTTTATTGTCGCCTAATTGTAAGGCTGAACCTGTCACCGTACATATATATACGCTCTGGTATTGTTAAGCTTATCATGTTATTATTATTTTCTGTTGATGTTTCTTAATAATATAAATCTTATAAAAATGAGTCCAAATAAGAATGTGTTTAAATCCATTTAAAAAATAAATGTTTAAATCCGTTTGTTACTCTAATTAAGAACTTTTTCTTTTTTATTCTTTTATTTTAATTTGAACTTTCTCGTGATTAAAACTAGTGCGTATATCCTAAGCATCCCTCTCCGTATTAGTAGGATCACCAAACGGCTTTTCTTATTTTAAAAATTTGTTAACAGGTTTAAAGTTACTTTTTCATGAAAAAATTTAATAAATGCGTTTTTAGAAGGAGAAGCCAATGAATTACCAACAATAAAATAGCTTTACTCTTATATCGCAACATTTTTAAAAAGTGCACACTGATCTCTCTTACTTCGTCTTGTCACTCGAAGCAGAAGACACTTGTTACAATTTCATTCTCCGAAGATAAATCACTTTAACTATCGTGTAACCTTTCGTCAACCACTTGTCACGTACATGTACCTAAATAACAGCATATTACTTCTTTTTACAACTAAAAAATAGGCACAGAAAGAATAATGCAGTTTTTATTATGTAACAAAATATTTGTTCATTGAAACTCGTCTACCTATCCTGCTACACATTTCTTTTGTGTTTTAGTATTGCTAACGTCACACTTTTTTAAAAGCGAGAATGAGTTTTTTTCTGTTAAAGAAAGAAAAACTGCTCTGTTCCAGTAGCTATGCATGTAGTGAAAAAATGAAGCAATTTTATGATGTCTTTCTTTTTTACTGTTCTTAATACAACTAATAGTAACACGACAAAAAAAAGAGCATAAAAAAAATGTTGACTAATATTATTTTAATTCAAAAACTCAAAATAATGGTCCTAAGTGATAAATCATGTTCCCCGTTACGAGTGAATTTCATCAAATACGATGAAATCAAATAATGGAATATATTCTAGATCTCCATTCAAGCTAAACTGTTAAAACTGCTAGCTCTTTTGTAAAAGTACCAACGCACGATGCACGCTCAGTATATTTACAGACATTTAGACGAGTAAATTAAATGTAAATATTGAAACTTTACAACTTATTCACTTTAACTTTATTTCATCGTCTATATTTAGAGAAAAGCTAACAGAATAATTACTCGAATTATACACTCCGATAACAGCATAATTAGAAGTATTTCGAAAAATACAAGTGGACGCAGTGCGATAAAAGAAACTATTTGTAGTGTGCAAGGTAAAAAATAGTTTGCTGATGAAAACTGATTTTTTCTCAGCTAAATCTGCCGCTAATGTTAGGAGAGAAAAACTCAAAGTTGGGACCACTTGTACGCGTAGTTGTGAATGATCGACAGCACTAATCGACATTTTACACTAATTCGAAGCCATCAAATTTCTAGTACAAAGAAGAAAAATTGGATAATCGTGTACCTCCCAAGTTCAATGCTCTTAGCAAATACTAGTTGCTATCCTTCAAACAGTCATATTGTGCCGGTGCGTTAGTCAACTTCAAAAAACTTGTCTCTCCTAACAGAACTATCACTCTTGTTTCAAATGTTTTAGTTTCGATTAGTTGTTGCCTGGAAGCGCCTTCCACAATTTTAGTTTGCTAACATTTTAGTGGGTCTAAATATATCTAAGTTATATGAAAGTTTTGTTCTAGTAAGAGTTTTTTTAAAAGAGTTAATAAAATTTGGTGACATACTCATGCAATGACTTCACATACTTTAAAACAACCAATTAGATGCTGCTGCTATTAGCGGTATATTATGGATAAGGACAGGAACGTTCGTTCTTTGGTTCTTTCTTCTCATCGGACAGTTCTGTCATAATCTGATCTGGCGTAGAATAAGAGCAATTTCTAACGAGACAGCGCGAAATTCGTCATAGTTTCATCTTTCGCAAAAGGTGGTGTAGTAGTCAGTTTGTTCACTCTCAGCTTTGAAAGTATGAGGTCAGTACAGCTTTTGAACTTGTAGTTAATATAATTAGTTTTATCTCTTTTTTTGAACTGCTAGTTGTTTAGTTTGATTTAAATGCGTCTGATTATCTCAAAAATGTTCTGATACTTTTGAAAATTGTTATGTTTTTCTTTGTCATACATTTAATTATCTTCAAACTCCGATATCTGGAGTATTCTGATTTGTAGAAAAAAGACAATTATGGCTTCTACAATTACGGCTGTTGATGCTAACACTTCAGAAATTGCAGAAACATTGACGTAAGTCTTTATTTGTGGTCAATATCGCCTCCATCTTGTACTTTTTATTTTAGCGATTTTGAAGTTGATGGTAGTACAGCTGCCCTTGTTACGAATGAAGAGGACGGATTATCTTCGGCTGATGTAAGCGATGCTTAAATTATAAGAACTGAAACCACAAATTGCTCATCTTTTTCAGCGCATAAAACAACGTTTAGATCGATTTGGTACCGTCGCTCCCGAAGCTAAAAAAATTGGTCGTGCATTACGTTTTGGAACTCCACACGTAAGTGATTTTCTCCATTCTTTTCTCAAAATATCTGATAATAAGTTATTCTTGTGTTGTAGGAAGCAATAAATGGAGCAGCAAAAAAACGTCGATTAGAACGTTTTGGTCCCGCCCCTCATTCACAGGTATGGTTAGAAGAAAACATTCTTTGAGAGATTCAATCTTAATTTTCAAGCTCTCTTCATGAGGTCAGGTCTCTCTGCATCTTTGGATTTTGTGAAAAGTTCATGAACATTTATAAAACACGTTGTCATTAAATAACTGTTTATGCTTGTTTAAAATATAATCATATTTCTCTACACTTGTTTATGCTTTTTTTTTAAGGAAGAAGAACAATTGAAAAAACGTAAAAGAGCTGATCGATTTTATTTGTCTGACTCTTCATCGACAACACCAGGATTAACAGAAGAAACAAAGAAGAAACGTGTAGAACGATTTGGTGTTGTTCTTCCAAAATCAACGGTATAGAAATTTAAGATTAGTTGCGGCTAACACGTTAAGAATTTTAATAAAAATCAAAACCGACAATTAAAATTGCAATTCGATATTTCGACCTATTGATATGGTCATTTTCAAGTTGCTCTTCGTACAGAATGTTACAAAATGGAAACAATACACTGACTATATGTATCTAATGTTTTTTCTCGTCTTTCTTTCATATCCATACCGACACACACACTATGAGAGAAGACTAAGAATTTTATACGTACGACGAAGACGGGAGCAAGAAGGAGAATGGAGTATGATATACACTTTTCTTGGAAATACTCAAACGTCTGTGCTTTCAATTCCTTACTAATTGTCAAAAGCACTGAAAGAAATATCTTAGCCACGAGTGAAATAAGACAAACTAGTAAAGCGTAATTTGAACAAAATATCGGAATACTATATTCTGCTCACAAGATTTGTTTGATACCGATACGTTTAAAGAAATGAAATCGGATTCAATTCTAATGAATACTTTTCGAAGATATATTATTGATTAAGATACGCTCTATCAGACATTATCCAGTGACCTAGTGTGCTTGGCTGTGATGAACCGTACACTTCTCGATACGCAATCTATCGTTCAACGATACAATTTATTATCTACTGCTATTTTTAGAATTCGTCTACGAACAATAAAAGACAGCGTGGACAACAGCGTTCAAATACAACTACTAACAGTATAACGTCAGATGCAGCTAAAAAACGTCTTGAGAGATTTGGTGGTGCGTCAAAAATATCTAATTTGAGCAATACAAATGTAAGTTGAATTTAGTTAACAAGAGTTAGTTTGTTTGTACACCAATTCGACGTGTGATGGCCTTAATGAAAATACGACACATTCGAGCTCAAACCTTCATAGGATTTAGCTAATTTAATAGTAATTTTTTTCTACTAATCTTAAATCATTTAAGATAAAACTAGAGCTTACTTGAAAAGTATTTATTTGGGATGAGTGAACCTCACGATTCGGAATATATATAAATCTCAGACTGTTCTTGAGTTATCGGTTTCGTTTACTCACTGTTTTTATTTGTCCATTTACTTTAGGAACAAAAGGAAAAACGATCAGAACGATTTAAAACTGTCGAATCTTCTGTGTGACCGTGACTAAGCAATAATTTATCCTGAAATATTGTGAATAACTGCGTCTCTTATTATTTTGTGTATAAGTAGAAGCTCACTAAGTTTTAACGTCAGCAATATGGATGAGATGACTTAAACACGAATTGTTTCATTTTTTTATGTATTGTGAAAATGTTTGTTTTTGTTATTGCAAAATAGTACTTGGAACATACCTAAATTACTTTGTATCGTACGAGTTTTGTATATTATACTTTGTTTGTTTTACGGTTTTCAGAGAAAGATAACCGCAACTCTTGTCATTTTGTTCCTTTTTGTGCTTCAGGGGTGGGTGTGAGATGATTCTTTACTTCCTCGTCCCTTGTTACACGGGCAAAAAGATTTCCACACAGTTTCTGCCCATCTCTGCTCTACAGTTTTTGTTGTTTTTTTCATTATTTGAATAAGACATCTGGATTCCTTGTATGAAAGATTTTGTTTCGAAGGAAAAGAATTTGTTGCCACAATCTAAAGAAGTAGTTACAGTCTATTAAGAGGGTTTTTGTTTGCGCTGAAGATTATTTTAAAGTTCATGTAAGTAACAAAAATCAAATCAAGATGCTCACTAATATAAGAAAGAATATTTATACCAATTTAGTGTTAGCAAGTTTTTTTGATTTATTTTCATTTTCTTATGAAAGTATTGAAATTCTAACAAAATTGATTCAGAAGTGAAACTTTTAAGCTTTTGTAATCAACCGTGAAAACTTTCTATTAGTAGACTTTTTCTTGGGAATACTCAAACGTGTATGTTCTTAATTCCTTCATTGTCAAAAAGCATTGAAAGAAATATCTTAGCTACCAGTGAAATAAGACAAACTAGTGTAATTTGAATAAAATATCGAAATACTATATTCTACTCACAAGATTTGTTTGATACCGATACGTTTAAAGAAATGAAATCGGTTTCTGTGAAGAACAATAGCAAAATGTCTTTGCTTATTGAATGACTTTTTCGTCATGTTTCAAACTCCCACAGTTTAAATTAACTAAAATTTATTTCCCCAAAACTCAATAAATCATGGTCTTTGTGCCACAAAATAGGCTGACTTGTTTTAAGATACGTTGGGTTATCTCATGTCAAACACGGTATCGTATTCTATTGAAGTGTTTTGATTTCCTGATAAATTATTAGTATAGAATATAAGAGGTTCTTACACGTTTGATGAATGAAGAGAATACAAAAAAATCAAAAGTTCACTTGTGGGCAAGCCAATTTTGATTGATTGTCTATGAAAAGAGCACAAATGAAAGTTGTGAAAAGTCTAACAACAACTATCAGAAAGTGCTTGATTTCGCTCACCAGAAAACATCGACTGAACGCATTGGTAACTTACTCATGATTCTTCTATTAAATCGACGATTTCTGAATAAAATGAACAAATTTAATAGCTAGAGACCGATAAATAGTCTGTATGCCCTTCATACATAAAAAAGGAAATGAGCAGACTTTTTCTAGTCTTTTTATGCTATAGAACTGATTCTTGGCGTGTGCCTTTATCTTCCAAGTAAACACAGATGCGTATGACGCATGTGAAAAAAGAAAAAAAAGAGTTCTTTTCCGAGTGAATTCCGATTTCTGGCGTTTTTTACTTTTTTCTGAAAAGTACATAATAGTAAAAATGTTCAACTGATTAAATGATGTCATGCTTAATCCAGGAAAGTGTTTCATAAAAGTTCTTAAGTGCTCGACTTAACTAAGTCTAGACTTAAGTCTTCGTTTTGTATACTTGCGTGTTAATGTTATACACTTAAGTCTAACTGAAGGGCCTCTCCACCACATACCCTCAAACTTCGTCAGTTTGTAGAGGACACCTTCTAGGGTATACATGTGCAATAGCTCACGGGTTGGATAAGTTTTGGCGGAGAGATGAAATTTTTAAAAAATTGAAACAATAGATTTTCCCAGCTATTTTGCACATAGTGCAAAAAGTATTTCTTGCGCAGTCGCCCGCGTCAACGAAGCGTTTTGGAAACTCTATGTCAATGCAAAAGTTGTTCATTGCATTCATCTCTACTGGATGACATAATTTTGCTTTCCCAAAACTTACTAATTAACAGTTATTTTAGCCCATTTTTAGAAATAGTGGATTCCTAAGCGGTTTATTACTGTACCCACACAAGCCATTTTTTAAATAGCTTTTGACAAACAATAATTAGAGAGTTGCGGTTTTCGTCATTCGATAGCCAGGACATCACTGCATCTTTATGTAACACATGAGCTTTCCAAAAAAATTTCAAAAATCTGTTTTCCAGGATAGCACTGCAAAATCGAGCCATAACTCTGAAACTGGCAGTATAAACCTATGTTGTGGAATTCGTTTCCAAAAAGGAGCATTCCCATCAGATTTAGCGTTGCTGACTACGTGTGTTTCATGCGATTTCAATGCCACCGCAAGCCACCGAATACCTGTCCTGGGGCTCGAAAGAAATCTGATGCCATACCTGAATCGCTGGAAACCAAGATCTCGCTTGGCACCCGTTCTGTAGAAAACACTTTCTAGCCATGGGAAAAAATTAATTTATTTATGTCGCGAATTTCAGAGTTATGGCTTGGTTTTCCAGTGATCTCCTAGTGCCGGTTCTTTGGACTATTAGAAGTACTGATTGCCACAAAAGGCAAGAATATGGAGATGCAAGAGTGTGCAATAGAAAATTTTCGTTTTTTTCTTTTTCTTTTTTGCGTTTATCAGAAAAAGCTTTTTTCCTAGTTTGCCTTCTGCCCCCACTTTTTCTAAATACTCGTATCCCTGCAACAAGCTTACATACTTAGCCAGAAAATTTGAAAGCAAATCTTTTATTTTGCTAATAAAAGATGTAAGAAAACTTTCCAGTTTATCGGATGGTAAACTATCAAAGAGGTATATTCTATAGAGGGTTTTTATAACCATAAAATAAAATTTTAAAATTTTTTGTACCTAAAAAATTAAGACCCCAGCGTAGATAGTCTTCAATGCCGTGTTTAAATCACGTAGCAACGCTATTCAGCAGCTAAAACGTTTAACTTAGAAAAGAAATCCTTGCAAAAGTTACTTTACCCTGGTTTACTTAATATTTAAACAAAAGATTCTTATTGCCAAACGAATGATGAAATTGCTCTGAAAAGCGTTGATATTGATATTGACAACTTGATAATCATGCTATGATGATTCTTTATCAACTCTCAATGATACACATAATAAACGTTTTACAGGCAAAGTTGAATTTGAGAATGAATATACAGTAAAATGTATCACTCCCCATGGATAAAGTCATTTTAGCATAAGATAAACGCAAACGTCTATTGATAGCAAGTTTTTCTATAATTTTTCAAGTTTATCTTACATCCTGTACGAGGAGAAACTTGAAAATGACCGTATTAATAGGTCGAAATATTGAATTATAATTTTAATGTTTTAGTTTTAATTGTTTAATTGTTTAATTTTTATTTTTTATTATTTGATTAAAACTTTTTATTAAAATTCTTAATATGATAGCCGCATTGGTTTTAAAATTTCTAACTATGTAGTTGTACGTGTTTCTACCTAATTGAAATTGCAAAACACCAGTTGATACCAAAAAGAAATTGGTTAAGAAGTCAATATTTTTTCTCGTCAATTTTTTAAATTATAAATTAGTGATTGATTACTTTCAAATAATAAAATTTTAGCAGTGAATATAATTCAGTTTGATATTTATTAGATCAAATCTCAAAAGTGTAGAGAAAAAAATGGACAATTAGTATTATATGAAACTTTTATTGTAATTACAAAATAGCTTATTGAGAAATAAATTTTATTCTGTATATAACTATCGGCAGGAATAGTTGAGATTTTAATCATTTTTTATTTTGTAATTTGTATAAAAACATAATCTATAGCAAAAAAAGAAAATTTCACAGAATGTTTTTTTTTATAGCACAAAGCTCTTAAACTTTTAGAAAGACAAGAATAATGACTATAATGTCTTTTTTTCAAATAAATGCTTACGTGATTTTGATACAAAATGAATATTATTATTCGTCAAATGTATGTATTAAATAAACAAGTACATATAATAAATAAGTAAAGAAGACTTTTTATCAAAAAATAGTGCATGACTGACATAAGATATGTAACAATGACTAATTATTTATAGTTTGTCATGTTAGTAATAAAAATTCCATTGATCACTATTTAAAACATACGAAACAACTGTAGTAGTTCATTATACGATACTATGTATTACAATACGATTATTATACACATCGTATTCATCTCTCTTCACAAAACAGTGTCTGGTAAATTTTTATCTTTCTATTGTAATCTTGTTCAAAATAACTTTTATAGAATAGAATAAAAACTTCGGTTGTTCACCATTTTAAATCCATATAATTCTTGCCTTTACTAGTTCGAGTTAATCGTATAGTCTAAAATGATTTATTTATGTTTTTTTAAGTTCATACTAATGAATGTCCCATACAATATCAAGCAACTGATATTTATCATTCATATTGTTTAACAAGGACAGCAGTGGAAACATATCCTGTAACTAAACAAGAAAAACAAATGATTTTAAATATGCACAATAATGAACGTCTCGAAGTTCGTGCAACGAATATGGAGAAAATGGTGAAAAATTTGTTTACATTTTTTAGTAGCATATCTCTTCATTTCTTTACAATTTTTAGTATTGGAATGATGATCTAGCTATTATTGCACAAAAATATGCTGATTATTGCTATTGGGATCATGATCTTAATAGTCGTCGAATAGCTCCACGTAGGTGAAATCAATAAAAATTTATAGAAATAAATCGCTATGTTTTGATGATATAGGTTTACCAGTCTACACTGGTCAAAATTTAGCTGGTGGTAGAGAAAATTGGACATTAACACTACAAGATTGGATTAATGAGAAACAACATTATTATTACGATAGATCACAAGTAACAGCACACTATTCACAAGTAAGTAGAACAAAAGATATTATTAGATAAAGGAATATAGTATGACCGTTAATAAACTGTACTTTTCTTATTCTTTTGACAGTATAAAATCTTATATTATATACTAAATTTTATGATTTAGATGATATGGCATTCAACGACTCTTATAGGATGTTCAATGTCTTTATGCAATCCAAATCCCACATTTAATTTCCAATGGAAATATTATGTTTGTAACTATGTTACTGGGTAAATACAATTAACAGAAGTATTTACTTTGTCTCTAAAATGATTGCACATCAGTTCAATATCTTTTGAGAAACACTTAATCATAAATATGCTACATATTATTTTACGATTGACTTTTTTATATTACAGTCAACTGAATAGTGATCCATATATCCAAGGTGTCGAAAGTATACTAAAAGGTAATTTCCAACGCGCTAACGAGAGAACCTCTCCAAATGTACTCTCGTTTTTCTAATGAAATGTAGTGGGATTGTAGGTAATCGACCATGCTGATTTCGAATATGATATTCATGTGGGTTCATAGGCCTTTCCTAGCTGATTTTTTTGAAACCAGTTTTCCAGAAACCTCGAAAAATCCCCAAAACCTTTCTGAATAAGTTACGATTGTAGCCCACAAAAGTCTTATCAAAATGAAACATCTCCCAGCTCTACACGACCTTTCTTTGCAAAGTTATAGAGTTTGCAGGAAAAGCCCTAAACCATTTTTCCTGTTTCTTTCTGTAGCTCTGAGGTGATAATGAACATTTAGAGCTATTCCTGGAAACTCTATAACTTTGCAAAGAAAGGTCGTGTAGAGCTGGAAGATGTCTCATTTTGATAAGACTTTTGTGGGCTACAATCGTAACTTATTTAGAAATGGTTTTGGGGATTTTTCGTGGTTTCTGAAAAACTGGTTTCAAAAAAATCAGCTAGGAAAGGCCTATGAACCCACATGAATATCATATTCGAAATCAGCATGGCCGATTACCTACAATCCCACTACATTTCGTTAAAAAAACGAGAGTACATTTGAAGAGGCTCTCTCGTAAGTTTTTTTGTCTGTATCTATAAAAAAATTTTATTTTCTAGATTGTAATGGTAAAGTATGTCTGTACAACGGACAATTAAATTTAGATACGTGTAAATGTAAATGTTCTTCATATGCTACTGGCGATCAATGCGAACATTGTATGTTATTCTAGCTGGTTGACAAGACGTATTGTCAAATGTTGTTATTCTCTTTTTTTTTTATTAAGTGAACTGTAGTTCATTACCATTTTGTTTTTATACTCCCGATTCGTGCGGTGTTTCTAATGTTCCCGGCGAATGTCCGAAGATGTGCGGTCTGTGTGATCGATTCGAGATAATTAAACATGTCTATGGTGATGAAAATCTCAGTCCAAGTACGTCAGCAATAAGAACCACCAGTTCAACTACAAAATCGGCTAAACAGCGTAAATTGACATATTCAAAAATAACATACAAGAAATATACGAAAGGAAAACGACAGAATATTACAACAACATTATTCAGTATTTCTACCTCGTCTGAAAGAACTTTGATTACAACTATTAAAAATTATTCTTGTCGGACTACCGCATTTTCATCGATTCAAATAATTATTCTCTTTATTATGTTCTATAAATTTATTAATTAAACTGACAATTCAATAAATTGACATTGTAAATTATTATTAATACTGAAGAGAAACTAATTTGCAATTTTCATCGAATCTATCATTATAAGTCTCCTTAAAATCTTTCAGACTTCCATTCAGTTGAGGCCAAATGCACATTGTTATATTAATATTACATTCATCTGAATATTTTGATGAAAACTATAACGTGTTATTCTGTTATGTTACACGCTTGATAATGTTCACAGAATTATTCAAAGTAATGATTTTCTATTTCCAGATTTGAGAGAGAAATCAATATGACTTTAAAATAACAAGATAAAATTTAACAATTTATTTTTCCTCTCGTGTAACGATATAAAATGAAGAAAAATAAATAAATATCAAAAGTAAAACCGAAAAGATAAAACTAAACGATCTATTTAATTAACAAAAAGAATAAATTATATAAAAACAAGAAATGAAGTTGAGATACACATCAGAGACCGAATCGGGTTTGACTCGAACCCGTCCCGAACGTTTTGTGATCCTATTCGAATTTATTTTTCCCTGACCCGAATGAATCCCGAAAAAACTATTTCGCATCCAAAAAAAGGGAGTGTAACTTTAGATTTTTCTCAGAAAAACGCATGAAAAATTGAAATTTTTTTTCGTTGACCCAAACGGAATCTGAAATACTTTTTATTTGATCTGAACCCGACCCGTTTCGGTCTCTGATATACATCAGCAGAAAAATAACAATCCAAAAAGAAAGTCGTCCACCATGTATTCACTAATCACTGAGTTTTAATGATGAACACCATTCATAGTTGCTGTACTATTACATTCCAAGCCATTTGTTTGAAAAGCTGATTTAACTAATTCCTTTCCATTTACTTCCAATTTTTTCTTACTATTACATTCTAATAAGAACGGTAGTTCAAACTGGTAATCTTTTAAAAATTCCAAATTCTAAACAGAGACGATGCACGACTAATTTGAAAAAGAAGTCGTCTTTTCACAGAATATACGTACTTCACCAGCATAAGAGACAAGAGGCGATAGTTCCAGTAACGGCTCATCAGCTTTTGTAAATCTAAATATACCATACTCAATTTAATTGCAAAATATTCGGAAGATACAAGGTATAAACGAAACGGTCAAAAGGACTAGTCCGCATAAAACTTGAGATCGATCCACCAACTTTTACCACTCCAATCTGTTCAAAACTCATAAGAATCATTATATTCGATGGTTTCGACCCTTCTGAGCGCTTTCAGTCGAACATATCGAACAGAATCTACTCGAAAACAAATAATTCCGGCACCATCACTACGACTGTAAAATTGAAATTTCTCCGTAACTATCCAATATTTAGCCTAGTGCAATACACCGTTCGATGCGCCTTGAAACGCTCAACAATATGTGTTAATAGGAAACTCAATGAAGCCTGGCAGCGATCTTTGTGAATTAAATACTTTACCGCTTAAACCTAAGAGAACGTGCACATCGTTTTCTGCTTTAATAACTTCTGCGACAGACAAGAAACAAAATAGTAGTAAATCAGTGAGAACTACTATCACATGAATAATCAGCTACAGGGTTGCCAACTCGTCCGATTTATCAGAATTTTTCTGATTTTGAGGTTCTTTTCCGAATGAATCCTTATTTTCCGATTTCTGGCGTTTTTTACTCGGGAAAATACAGATTAGTAAAAAAGTTCAACTGATTAAATGATGAATGATGATACGTGGATTTTGTTAAAATGTTAGAATAGATTTTTGTATAGATATCAGCTAACCTGAATCAACCGGTGAATAATGAACTAGAACACAAATTTGTTACTCGAAAGACGTTTTTATATTTTTTGCTGTGTACATTGTAAGGTTGCGATTTAGTCCTCTGTGGTCCTAGCGTTCAACTTTATTCCGAGTGCGTGAAGTTCTGTCTCGGCAAATACTTTGTGAAACTAGACTTAGGACATAGTTCTGACTCAAATCTTGTCTTTCGAGTTTGAAGGCCTGTGTACACTGACGTAATTACGGTTTTTTCATCGCTTTGTTTCGATGTTCGTTTTCTGTATATCAGATAGTCACGTACATTTGACTCAGGAGTATTCTGTTCTTTCTTTATCTCTATATAAATTTTGTCTTATACAGTATATGTTAAAATTGGTTTGCAGCAGCAACACGGTCTTAGAACCTGTTGCTAGGACACTACAACATTAAAGACCATCCCAAGTTTCGATGTCCTGAAACGGTCATTGTAGCACTTGGCTGATGAACTGCTAACGTCCTAGTTTAATGTTAAGTGCATGTAAATAATTACTAACAAATTTGTGTTCTAGTAGATTTTTGTAGGAACGTTATAAAGTTTGAATATTAACTGAATTTAATTTTAATTTTTTTATTTAATTTAATTTGTGTATTATTGCTCTACTTTTTGAGATATGCACAGTTTTTCTGTCGTTACATAAAATCTCGTTGACTCTAAATGATATGCGCGAGATATTGTAGGAAGAATCGAAGACGTAGAGTGAAGGTGCCCTGTTACAATAGCTGAAAATCTTGAGTCCTGTACATCACTTATTCTTGACATAAGAGTCAGAACATTATCCCAGAGAGGAGAACATTTATCGTATTGAATAAAACAGAAGAATTTCAATTGATACAAATAATTTGAGCTTATAAGAACGCTTTATAAGAAAGTTCACTGATAATTTCAAACAATATACATACTTATCTATATTGGGTACTTCTACACCCGCTTGTTTTAACCATCGTAAATGTTCTGCCATTAAATCTCTTCTACATGTTGCTGGGGTGTCTTTTGATCCTTTACCATTTTTTAGTGGCGAAAATTCTTCTTCACGTTTAACTTCCCACACAGCGAATGTTCTTCAAAAGAAATAAAAACAACAATAAAATACCATCAGAAAAAACTTCATTGACAAGTGAGAATAATTTACTTCGAAAATGGAAATACATCAAATACAAATTTTTCTAATTTAACACCATTTGGTTCTTTGGGTGATTCAATTTTTAATCCATTTTCTCCTAAACATGGAATTGCTTTCTTTGCCACATGATAACGTAATTCATTTTCATGATCTCTAGAATATTGGTTAATTATAATTTAAAGAATATGTGGAAAAAAAAAGAAAGCTCAATGAAACAAAAATCATACTTGCAAACAGCTTGAAGAAAATTAACTGAAAAAAAATGATTACATATATTCCCAGCATTGAATAATAATTCACCATCCGGTTTGCGACGTTGAGCAGTATCACTGGATATTTCACTGTATTCAACAACTTGAAAACGATTATTTACTTTGCATATAACACCAACAGCTTCATTGGGAGAATTTTTTTTAACAACCTGAATACAACAATAAAAATAGGATAAATTATTGAAATAATGATGTACCAGTTATCAGAGATTATTTCGATTGAACGGTCGTTCTTCGGCATACTTCATCGAGTCATTATTTTACTTTTTCTTGTCATATTCTAAGATATCATATAACTTTTGTTCGTTTTCCTCTTCTAATTTTTGCTACTGAAGAAGGAGTCGAATCGAATTTGGAAACGTCTAGCATTTTGTACATAAATATTACGAGGAAAACAAACAAAAAGTATATGATATCTTAGAATATGACAACAAAAATTATTCACTGTCCCGTATGAAACTATTTCTTACACAATAGTCTAGGCTATTGTTCTAAAATCTTACTTTTGCTGCACAATTAGCATTTTTCTTCAAACAAAATCCAATGAATATGGGATCAGCCATTTTTACAAGTATATTATCGACACAATAAACATGTACATATTTAATTTGTCTTTTAACCATTTCATTTAATATTCCACGTGTGCATAATGCCCGATATAGTCCACCATTACCATCAGGTGCTTTAGTTAATTTATATTTTTCATCTAATAATATTTTACCCTGAAAATTTAATGCTGGCAATATGTGTTGTTCAAACAATATAATATTTTCTTGTTTTAAACCAAAATAATTATGTTGATGAAAATAATCTTCCGTGGCTTGTTGAGTATGTTCACTTGTCATAATAAACCTAAATAAAGAAAAAATACATAGAAGAACGTAATATTTGGATACAATCAATCTACCATGGTATTTGACAAATTTTTCCATACTGTTCATTAGCTAATTCTTGAAGACGGATAATTCGTTCGGCTTGAATTTGATATAAACTTTTTTGTGACAATAAATTTACATTATACATGCCTTTTGGATAATTTACACCTATAAAATCAAAAAGTGGAATACTCATATTCAAATAGAATAGTATGTTAATAATTGAAATATTTCAAAAAAAAAATACTCACGATAAGAACAGAGCAGTCAAAGAAACTTTCCAACATTGAGTAAATGTCAACAAACCGTAAAATTTCTTGACACTTACCAAGACGTGTTCCTTGTCCACCAGCTAACAACAATACACAAACCTCACCATCAGCTATTGCTCTCAAACCTGAAACGATACAAAATATACAATATTCAAGTGAGACAAAAATTATTAAGAGAAAACGTCTGAAGGTATCAATCCACTTTTTGCGTAAAAGAAACAATACTCTATGTAACCAATGGTACTGATTACGAATTTGATATTCATTAGTGTTCATCTAGTAGATATTTTAAAATTGATCAAAAACCTCGAAAACGAACTTTTTCTAAGACTCGCAGACAGTAAAATGCTTCAAGTTATTTATGTTAATACATTTACCTGGACATAGAACATGTCTTATTACGGTAAAAAAAGATTTTATTAACTATATTAAACAAAGTAGCATTTATTACATCCCAATATCATACGCAAAATCTTATAATATTGATCATACTCATTTGATAAACTTGAGATCAATAGAACATATGTAATTTGATATACTTTACAAAATGTCAATCCTAGAAAATTTTTACCTTTTTGAGTTTTGAAAGATCTGTCCAGTTTTTAGAAATCTATCCAAGTACCATCTATGAACCGTAACGAGTATCAGATTCATAATCAGCGCCCACGCTTACATAATAGATTCATGTATTTAAAACCAAAAAGTGATTAGATACTTAAAGACCTTTTATCATTAGCTCTAGAACCTTCTTGATTGTATTCATCTAATTCTTTTTGAGTAGCTTCATAAACACTTCCGGCTAAGTGTTCTGGTATTGGTTCCATTAAGCGATCAATATCTTGTTGTTTATTATCACCCGCACCATTTTGTTGTTCATTTTTATTTGACGATAACGGTGGCATCAATTGTGATTTAATGTGTTGATAGGCATCATGAGTTCGAGCTAAATCAATTTCATTTATATCTTGTAGTAATGATTGTTTTTGTTTATCATTTAAATCATCCCAGTATGCAATAAGATGTTCTTGACCATATTTAGATAATTTTGAACGAATTAATTCGATATCCATTTTTGTTCAATCACAATGAATTGAAGTCAGTGCAAGATGTAACAACAAATATTCATTGATCTGAAAAAAAGAGATAAATAATCAAACTAAACACTATTAAATGCATTAATTTACAACGCAGAATTGATTTTCTACTCGATTGGTGAAACAAGCAACATAAAGTAAGGAAAAACTTCACACGCGTCGATCAGAACGGTTGGTCATTTCCCAAAATCTTAGTGATATTTATTAGAAATCGTTTTTTTTTTGAAATTATCTGAAATGGTCAAAAACCATTACGCTGTGTGTTTGACGAGTAGCTTTCTATGATCTGTATTAATCGTCAATGACCATAAAAGGAATCAAACATTCAATAAATGTTTATCTCATTCAACTAAGACAAAACAATCAGATGTTTTTATATTTTCTAGCAAAAAATATACGCAATAATATTTTGTATTCAAGAAAAAAAAACAATTTTTTCTATATTTGAATGAAACTCAATAATGACTGACCATTTTACGACAAGAAAAAAAGAAAAATAACGACACTTTCTTTTTTCTTTCACATAAATAGAAAAAAAAAGAACTTAGGCGACAGATAGATGAAGGTTAGATTTTTAGTTAGCAAATAAAATGTTTAGCAATGCACCGACATCTCATCGTTTTATCGAAAACAAATATATTACATGTACTATCAGAAACAAACAGACTATTCTGAACAAACTTGTGTGAATGAGCATATAACTATACAAAAATTAGATCGAATCAACATTCAACATGTATAACAGACAATAGAATAGAATCATTCATTCACACTCTTTATGCGCTCAGATCAAGCAATTCTGCTAGGATCCTACAAGATCCTATAGAATCTTAGTGATAATAGAATTTCATAGAATTCCTATTGTAGAGTTCTATGAAATCCTACAGCAGGAATTCCGTAGCGACCTTGATATAGAACGGTAGCAAAAAACCTATAGGATTCCTATAATAGAAATCTTATGCATTTCTTACAAAATCCTATGGTAAGATTTTATGTAGGATTTTGTACGATTCCTAGTTTTTCGTTCTGTATATATTTTCTTTTCCTTTTCTATATGAGAACACAATCATCGACGTGTTTTGCACTCTTAACTCTAATATAAATACAACTCTTCTGTGGAAAATGAAAATTCTTTTAGGCTTAAATTTTCACACCGAACACTGAGCCATCGAAACTCACTACTGTTCGACGACGTGTGAGTTAGTACTCACAAGTCTTGATCCCAGTTTAGAATCACCTGATTCTAGCCAGCTGGGATCAGAGAATAATCAAACAAATAGAAACAATAAACCTAGTATGATAAACCAGCAGAAAATCAGCTAAAATCCTACTGCAATCCTGTAGGATCTTGCCAGATTCTACAAGATCTGACTACAGAATCCTATGGTAGGATCTTGTAAGAATCTTGTAGGATCCTATGGCAGGATTGTTTGACGGGACTCAATTTTCCGTTAGAAAAAAGACGATAAGCATTCGATCTAGTTCATTTTGCCCTTTTCTTGAAGTCTAAAAAACATTTGAAAAAAAACTTGCTATTTTTAAGCACAAGGTATCGTTTCCATTTTACGACAATTAAAACAAGGTTCAGATAAATTTGAAAAACATACAGTTTAAGCAACGAACAATCCATGCGGCCTCTTGTACTAACAATAAACTATTGTCTCAAATTAATTAGAAACAGATTAAATACTTCGGAACATATAGTGTTATCTTATGCTATGTTGAACAGATCTCTAAATCGGAAACTAAATATAAATTAAACACCTTAAAAGATTTTAAGTGAATGCACTGCAGCTTAACAATTAAAAGCTTTGTTTGTTTATTAAATATAATTAGAGCTACTTTCTCTGCGACTTATAATAGCCAACAAAACTGATTCTCATTTTTTGTGACCTTTTAGTAGAATTAAATAGCCTCTATACAATATGTATAAGTTGTTTGTTCTTGCTATCACTCTTAAAATCCTTGACCGTATAAAATAGCGTTAGATCATTGTAGTACATATAAATATATGGACGTTGGGATCATTCGTATTTGGGATGGATTCAAAATTGTTCTGGAGTATATTCGCGCAATCGGAAAGTTTAAGGAGCACGTAAGAGAAGCATCAAGAAATCTGTCACTGTTAAACACCATTGCTCAAAATGTTCATAATGAACATTAAAATCACTCTAATGCCTTACCAATCATTTTTCTTAATAAATATATTTAATTACCGAAATTTCAACTCATCTTCAACATTTGTCATCGGACATAAAACGAAAGAAGGTAAATTATTCATCAATCTGAAATGTAAAAATCGTTTTAGATTGACAAGAATTGATGAATGAAACGAAGTTCTTCATCAAGTTTAATATTTCTGATCAGTGTGGGGAAGGTTGAAGACCTTCTCCATCTTAGAAAACTTTTACACTATCTAGCTGATTTTGGTATTTTTGTATGATTGGTTATAAATTTCTTATTCGACCATAACTGTCTATCAGAATTTAAATCTCCGCAGTCTGATTAGAATGCAACTTAGTCAAGCCTTCGCCCGGTCTAACAATGTCTAAAAGCAGCAGACACTTCTCGGCAATACTTTCTTACTCTAAAATGAAATTAGTTTAATCTTGTAGAATAAATGTAGAATTTCATCTTAGATTTTGATGCAGCTTGGTTAATATTCAAATCAAAAATAAGTTCTAAGTTAACTTGTTCAAAACGGGTCCGATGATGATGCTTATCTTAGAGAACAGCAGTCTGGAACCGGCCAGTATAGTTGTTCAATACTATGTGTATAGAAGCGATGAAAAGAAAACATTTATTAGTAAAAACGACGACGAGACAATTTTTGTTTTGTTTTGCTGTATAAAATACAACAGTTTATAAAAATAAGATTTCTAAAAAAACTAAAGGAAAGAAAAATTTATGAATTTGTTTTAGAACCAATTTTTAGTTAACAGAAATTCAAACCTTGAACGACCGAGCTATACGCACGCAGTCATCAAGACTATCTTTATAAAAATTTTCCTTGAACTAAGTCGAGAATATATACGGCAAACCCTAGACAGAAAGACATCCTCGAGAGCTGTGCACATACGAGTTCAAGTTTGCATAGCTTGGGATTTTCTGTAACTAAAAACCGGTTAAAGAACAGATATATTCAATTACAACAAAATCAAGTTTAGCCGGTAAAAAGAAGTTAAAACTTACAGTAAAAAAAGCACAGAAGAAATAAAAAGTAGTCTTCATCTTTTAAGAGGTGAGATAGTAATAATGCGACATCATACAGAGAGAAGACAACCTTGATAAAAAAAAAGCTGATAGTAAAACTGTCTAAAGTAACGTTTTTCTTACGGCAAAAATATTTATTCAACGAGAAAGAACGTGGTGGCAAGAAAAAATTTGTGACCTTTCCAGGCACTGGGTTCTTTTACTTCTTTTTTATCTCAAAGAAAATAAAAGAAGATCAGAGTCACAAAACACGTTTCAGTTAACAAACTAATCTTAATTATCGTGACTGGATACATTGGAAATGGAAGTTATGCGTCGAGGTGCCGAATCTGAACAATTTTTCCAAAGCAAAAAAGTCCTTCTGTGAGATGAAAATTTCTTCAAAAACATTTTTTCTTCTCCATACAGGCTTGCAATGTTAGATGAATTTTACATTCCTAATTATGTGTAAGCCATTACTAGTGTATCCTTAGCATCATACTCTGATTACGTTGCATTATGTCTAGCTACAATACGTTTCCACACTAAATGTTTCATCGCAATTGGGCTTGAAAATGACAGTTCATTATTAATCAACCTTCAGAGAAAATTGAGAGTTGACAAATCAGGACGTTTTTCTACTCAGGATGCACTAAAATGAAAACAACGATGTCTGCACACAACTGGTCTGGACTATATCAATTGACTAGGATACACAGGGATTAGAAGTTTTGTTTCAACTCACTCCTGGCGACGTATTCTTTGATTTTCACTGCCCTTTGTTTCTTTCATTCGGTAATCTTTCCTCCTATAGGAAAAACAGAACGACAAAACGGATGGGCAGACAGATTGAGAGTTTCGCAGATTCAATTTCATGGCATATACCGTATAGGAGTGAAGGTCTATTTGTGCCTAGTACTTCTGATAAAAATTTCGCTTGCATAATGAACGCGATGTTAGCCTTTTTTCCAGAATAAGTTTTCTTCCAAGTATAGTACGTGGTTTTTGACTTGACAAATACTTGTTAAATAAAATTACAAGTGATTTCACAATCTACTGTGTACCAATAAAAACAAGTATTGCAATGCTGGAGAAATACTTGCAAAACTGCATGGCAAATAAGTATTTTTCAATAAACTTGCAGTAAGCTAGAGAAGGAAGAATACCTCGCCTTTCGGCTACCTTGCGGTATAGGGTGCTGTCCCGAGTTAGTTTCGTAAATCCGATATCTTCCCTACACCTAATACTAGCTGTAGCTCTGGACAGAAGGTCAGCCTGACTCAGAGTTCTTTCGCTCAATCGCTTGAGCTCTCCGCACACACTGACTAACCACATACTAGCCACGAGGGCTAGTGTATGTCATAACATAGTCAGCATGCTATTGGACGGATGATCCGAGGTAAACAACCGTTAATGACTTGCCCAGAGTCCTTCCGTGTCTGGTGGCGTCGAGGCTTGAACACAGTACCATCTAAATACCCCTAACAAAGATATAGTAAAAAGACGGTTTTGTTGCTGAAATGTTAAATATAGTGGATCTTGTGTGTGTTTAGCTATCGTCCGATAAAATGTTTGCCATCGGTATTGATCTTTTGTTTTAGATTAGTCTTCTATTTCTTCTGCCTAAAAATATCGATGACTGGAATTGTGCGTATTATTCAATCCGGGTTTATGGGACTTGTCTTTGAATTTTTAATATATTTTCTAGCGCGATGATTCACACAGAAGAAAATGGGACACAAGTGAATATGAACGGATAGCACGTGAACGTATTGAAAAACTACGAAAACAACAGAATGAGGATAGTGATGATGACGACGATGAATTAGATGAAAAAGCAATTAAACGAACTCTTTTACAAGCACGAGATTATAAGGTAAAAAATTGAGAAAAATAGAGCAAGCAGTATGTCGGTTTAATTCATTAACTTTTGTGTATAGGTCGATCTTGAGTCAAGATTAGGAAAATCTGTTATTGTTACAAAAGCGACACCGGCATCTGATGCAGGAGGGTAAGCAAGCGATCAAAGCGGTCAAGTTTATTTTGCTATTTTTAATCTTTATATTTTTTGAACTAGTCATTATAAATTCTATTGTTAATCATGTCTCTGACTTCGGTTTCGCCGTTAAAAGCAGTTTCGATGCTGCAAAGAGTTTGATAGTTCCATCTTATTCATCACCGTGTATGATCTTATTCTAATCTACGTGTATCCAAAGATATGCTCGAGCCAGATTAGGTGACATGTTTAATAATATTATTTCAGTTTACTTCTTCATCTGTTGTTTGTATGCAATCTTGAATGTTTTGTGTCATTATATTTTGAACAAAAAGAATGGGAAAGCAAAAATTGCCAATTACGATATTTGATACCTGGTGTATCATCTTCATTACATCTCGGTGCGGTACACTCCCAACCTTTCGCATAAGGTGATGAGTAGCTGTTTTTTTTAGAAAAGCTATTTTAGTAAGTTGAACGAGTAAATCTATTCATTCCTTTTAAACCGCTGTCATAAGTGGAATTCTAAAACGTAGAATCACATTATTACGGCCATTGTAAGACGAGTTCACAATGAAACTCAAAACCCTCGTTTTCTCATCAACAACATTTCATATATCGCTAGTTTGCACTAAATGAAGCATATCACACACTGTTATGTCATCTTTTCAATCGTTTGTGTTATTTCATTTTATCGTCGACTTCCTAATTACCTAGATAGTCTAAAGATAATTTTTGTTTTGAATATTGGAATAATACAACAGTTATAAGAATAATAGCGAAGTTTATCTTGTTTAGAGAAAGTACGCGTGTACTTTGTAATGCATAAGAAGGACGTAGTTAAGTGGTTTGCTCATTGATAGATGACTTTATAGTTTTCTATATGTAGCTTATTAGTGAAAGCTGATAACTGTAAAGTGTGTTTATATGCATTAACTGAAGTAGTTGACTTATTTCTTTTCTTTAGATATTACTGTAATGTTTGTGATTGTGTTGTTAAAGATTCAATCAATTTCTTAGATCATATCAATGGAAAAAAACGTAAGTGAAACAATCTATATACAGTTAGTTTATACCTATATCCCAGAATATTCTTTCAACTTTTATTCTGATTTAGATCAGCGAAATATGGGTATGTCCATGAAAGTTGAACGAAGTTCAGTTGATCAAGTAAGAGATCGTATTAAGTTAAATAAACAAAAACAAGATCAACAAGAGAAAGAATATGATTTTGAAGAGAGAATGAAAGAACTCAAAGAAGAAGTAAGTGGATTTCAACAATCACTTTCTTTAATTTATTTGTCTTTTTTTTCTTTTGTTCAGGAAGAAAAACTAAAAGCTTATCGTCGTGAAAGACGAAAAGAATCAAAAAAACGAAAATTTGACGATGCACAGGGTGATGATGATGAGTCGGATTTAGCTGCTGTTATGGGATTTTCGGGATTTGGAGGAGCCAAAAAGTGAAATTTAAAACTCTTACATTTTATGTAAATTGTTGAGGATCGTTTTCTTATAACTTGTGTGTTTTGTATTGTCCATCTGACAGAAATATTTTCCTCAGATTTCGGTACCATGTGCTCTGTTACTACAGAAAATTATATCATAAAATATTGTTTTGTTGTGGATAAATAAATAGTTTTTCTTTTATAATTTTCTGAAGTTACATGATTTTCTTGTACTGTGGCTGTATATTTTGTTATGCTGAAGATTAACTGCTAGTTTCTTTGTACTGTGAAAGTCGATCTACAGACAGTCTATTTGTTAAACCTGATAAAAGATAGATAGCTATGCATTTGTGTGAAAAGTTTTTGTTGTTCTTCTACTGTAATATCAGAATATTGTTATTTTCGTTTGTTATTAACAGAGGCTTTTCTCATATTTTGAAATCAATTTTCTATACATAGTCATGATTCATTTTTGTTCAAGGATTTTATAAAATTTGTGTCGATACGTTGGTTATCTCGATCATCGTTAGAATCAGATTCAGTCGATCTTTTTAATAACTTCATTTTTCAAAGTGTTTCTGGTTAAACGAAGTATAATTTTAAAGAACTATGAGTTAAACAGATAAATATCAAGAATGCGATCGGATGAGACGTTCCATCCGAAATTTTTTCGCCACATCTCATTAGCACCCCTGACGGATATCGATGACTTCTGTGAAAACATTTTTGCGGATGATGAAAAAATAACGGAGCTGTGTTCTGATGATGTAATGCCAGAATGACCGAATTAAAAGTAAAGTTTCTTAGAACTTTTCGACGTTTTATACTTTTTTGTAATGCGATGGGTTTTTTATTATGATAAGGAAGAAATCAATCAATCAATCAATCAAATCAATTCAAATAATGTTTTCTCTTGGCCTATGGTTCTCGTGTTAGTGTTTATGATTTAAATCGTTGCCAGTTTCTACAAAACCAAGTAGACAGGACAAAAATAATCGTTTTCTATCTACAATCTATAGTAAACATGATAAATAGAATAATACAATTTTGTGCAACTGATAACTGCAGAAAAAATCATGTGCAGGTAACAATATAAAAACCACTCAATTCAAAAGTTATAGAAATATTTTATGTCGCATACTTTTAAAACATAAGTAAGTTTGATTCCCAGAACAAATATGATTTCATTTCTTCAAGTAACAAACCCCTCATGGTAATAGAAGACCAGGTGGTCTTTTATTCTGTCCGATAACTCAAAACTTCTTTGAGGGTAGTCTTCTATTGCGGTCAAATTTTATCGCCCGCTAGTAGTTCAACGGTAGAAGACCATAGTCTTCTATTTGGCTTTTAGGTCATATGATCGACAGTGTTCTTCTAATGAGGGATGGCTTTCTATTACGGGCAGAAGTTTAACATGTATTTCAAAAATCTGTTTTATTCCTAAAACTAATTACTTTTATCACTGATCTGTTTATATTCTATGGTCAACCATCAACAACAAAATGTAATACATGATCGAATCTTATATCTATTGTTGATTTATCGGATAGAATTACTCGAGAAGATGGCTGAAATAAACTCCATTGGATACGATTCAAATTATATGATGATCATAAATAATTATCTAGAGTTGACTCAAAATTATAATGATCTATGACTTTCATATATTTGTTAAAACTGTCCACCAAAGTGGAAAAATGAAATGAAATCGAACAGTATGTTTTTCACTCATTCATGTTTCATTTCTCACCTCCAATAAGGTCAGTTCGATGATCATCCAGTCAATAGTATATTTATTACGTTGTGACATGTAATATAGTTTTTCTGATTAGTTTATGTGGCTTTCCGGACCCAGACAGTACGTAGAGAGGGTATTGAAGCAGTTAAGCGAAAAAAATCTGCGTCAGTAGAACCTTCTGAATACAACTATAGTTGAATATCACTATTCTCGGCTGTTTTTACGTGTAGTTAAAACATTCATAATTCGATCAAAATCGTTTTAAATTAAGTCAGAGTATCAAAATATACTCTATTTTATCTCGTAAATCTGATTTAAAAAAGGTAAGTAAATGATATTGAAAACAAGTTTTTAAAAAAGTTTTGATGCTGAAAAGATATTCTTAGGTCTGTGGTTTTCGAGTGACGAAAATCTCTAGCACTTTGTATTCAAAAAGTAGCCAAACGCATTCTTTTAGAACATGACTAGTAATAACGATATAGGTGATTACATTATCGGCTAATCAACTGAAGAATAGACATCGGGATACTGGATCTGATAGTTGTTGTCATCGGCAACGGTAGATACGAGGTAGGATACTCCTCTCTATTCAGCGGCAATAACCGTCTATACGTTTTATCTCATTAATAATGCAAAAAAGTCTTAGGAGGAGTCACAATGTTGATTTTTATTGTAGATTAAAAAATTTTCAACCTAGAAAGCTACGCCCATTTTCGTCAAGTAATTCAAAGTTGATGAATGGATATTATACAAAAGTGATAGAGAAAAATTATATAAATCACCAGTTATAATGTAATGCTTTATTCTAATAGTCAAACAAAATCTGTTATATAATTGTCTTTTATCTTTGAGCAATTTGTTAAGTGCATTATCCACACAAAAAAAAATGAAGCATTAACATTGAAATGATAGAAGAACATATGAGAGAATATTGGGTACTATTGACTAAAACGGTGCTATATGAAAAAATTGTTAATCTATTTATTATACATTTTTACTATCAATATAACATTGCTGTTGGTAAACATACCGATCTGTTACTTTTCTTTATTTAATATGTTACATCATTTCAATTCCAGATAAATATAATGTTCATAGCCTACATAAAAATCGGTCACAATTTCTGTACTGTTATCCAGAACAGTATATTGGTTCCATAAAACAATATACAAATAGTAGCATATAATTTCTATTATTTGCATATAAATAAAAAATAAGTCAGTAACCTTCAATCATGGAGAATATAAAAAATTTTTTTCATCATTTTAGTACACTATATTATGGCTACTATTCCCTGTGTTGTGATTGATTTCATGGTCATCCTTGATTTTGCCTTTTAGTCACGTTCACATTCTTTTATTTGAATAATAAAAAAGAACCATAAACAAAGTATGATAAAACATTTTATACCATATCCTCGTTTGTTAATCTTCCTCGATCAAGTGATTCTTGTAAACGTAAACGATCTTTAAAATCTTCATCTAATTCACTCACATCACCTTTTCGATAAACACCATTTTCGTTGATTAAATAATCGTCGTCTTGTTGTAATTGTTCAAAATCTTTATAGTATTCAGGTTTTGGACGTCGACATCCACATAAATAGCCAATAACACCAATCAGAGCCACGAGTAAAAATAACAGTGCAAAACAAATTAAAACAATTGACCAAAATGGAAAAAAACCTAATTGAAATAATAGAAGACAAAAAAAATGCATAAAAAAAAAATGACGTTTTTTTTCAAGATACAATGCATACCTCTCAATAAATAATCGGGATTCACGCGTCGAAATAAATCTGTACGAATACCAGTATATTCATAGTGTGTTCGACTATCGTATGCTCTCTGTTGTTCAATATATAATTGATCAGGAGTTAAAAATTGACCATAAATAAAACATTTTTGTAAAATTGAACAAAATAATATCCCTTAAATTTATACATAGAAGAATTATGAAACGTTGAACTGATATTAATGAGAGAGTATTCAAAATTTTTCTAAACATTTTTGAATTACCTGTAGAAACTAAAATAGTATTTAAAATAGACATTTGTATTTAATCATTTAATTTTTTCATATTTTTCTGGAACCTTTTTATAAAACATCAATTTTTAGTCATCATCACCATGTTATTCATAACGTTACAGTTTTAACAAGTATATTCATCTATTCATTTGGTGTACATATTTCAGAGAATGAGAAGAATACTGTCGTTTCTCTTTTTTTTTTTCGTTTTATTACTTAAACTCATACATAAGTATATAGATATATTCTTTTTTTTTTTTTTATAAAATTTTGTTTGCTGGGTCACATCAATACATGTCGAGAGAGAAAGAGAGAGAGAAAAAGTGTATGACCGTATTTCACGCATTCACGTCTATTTAGTTTATCGAATGAAGAAGAAGAAAAAAGACATTATGTGCACACAGATTTTTCGCTCAAGTAAACTTTGCTGTGTCGCCATCAACATCAGCAGTAGTTCTGTTTCTCACTTTTCTTTTTTTTTATATCAGAGAACAAAAAAAGAAAAAAAGTTCTGTTACGTAGGTTTTTTTTAAAAATTTTTAGTTGAAAAAAAAACAAAACGGAATACATCATCATACCTCTTCATAGTACATAACCATTTACTTAGTAACAAAAAAGAAAATGAACAATTATTATTGAATAACCCAAGGTCAACAAACAAACAAAAAGAAACTAATGAAATCATGTTACTACAACGTAAAAATGTACTCGTTTACACTTTCTACTACGTTACGCGGCTAAGAAAATTATTTTTAACATTAAAATATCTCTGTAAAATCAAACAAGACTGTTCTAACAAATGAACGGAAAGTTTCTAGACAAATTTGTACATTTAATGTCTCCGCTATCACATAGACTTTTTTCTATCTAATTTATACCAATTTGTAGTCTATTTTCTGCTTATTCGATTGATATATGATAGTTTATCTTGAACATGTCTCCATTGTTGGCGAATAAAATTTCAAGAGATTTTGGCAAAATATACTTTGGATAGGATAGTAGAAAGAAACTCGTAGAGATGCCTGCTTCGATTATTTTCTCTATGGAACCAAAACTGTTTAAAAACATCATATATCAATCTGTTTATCAGAGTAAGGGAAATTGGATATAAAAAACTCCCAAACTTTCATTCCTTTTCAAATCATTATCTAGCGACGTCAATAGTGTTGGTATCATTTTTTTTTTTGGATGTCAACGAGGATAATACTAAGCATTGTAGAGAATTTTGCTGACTATCAGATGATAGACTTTATAATAAAAGATTCAACATTATTTTTTTTACACAGTCAAATATTTTCTTGTAAACGGTATAATTAATAAACTAAGTATTCAAAATTATGGTAAGTACTCAAAAAAATCTTGGCATAATTGAATATTTTAAGGTATTTTTTAGATACTTATCCATGTACGCTGATGAAGTATATTTCGAGATTTGACTACCTAAAAGGGTGCTCGGATGACATATAATTACGATAATTTGTAATTAATTATTTTTACATAGCCTATTAGCCAGTGACTATTACGGTATTTTTGTGCAGCAAACAATTCGATCTTGTGCATGTGAGGAAAGTCGTCTGCGTGTTAGCGGAAAGCATTTAATTATTTTTCAAAAATACATAGGCTTCATATAGTACATCACACAAAACAAAACAGTGTTTCAAATGTGCACGGATACCTTAGCAGAATTTTTGTCATACTTGGGTATCGTCCGGTCAGTTTGTTTAGATACTTAGTCGGTTATAAACAATTTTATTAGTACCTTGAATGGGTATTCTAACGAGATTTATTCAGTATTTAGGTACTTTGGGTTAAGAAAGAAAGCTTTAGAAAAGTGTTTATGATATATATAAAATTGTGCACTCTTTCAGATTATGGTAAAATAAAGCGTTCAAATTTCAATTAAATTATCAAATTATCGAGATATGGATCTAAAATACGAGAAAAATCGTTCTTTCTCTCATGTTTGTGCTATTGTGAATCAAGAAAGAGTAGAAGCAAGACAAAAATTTCACAGTATATGTAATTTCTGATGTTCTATCAACTGACTCTGCCAGAATAATGAAAAAACAAGTGTGCATCATTATCAAAAATAAGAAATACCAGAAAATGAACAGGTTTTGAATGGTATTTGATTAATTTCGACACGAAGACAGAGATTAGAATCAATACGGTATTTGGAATCTGCGTCAAAAATCTCCGACCTTTTTGACGCAGATTCCGAATATCTTAGTGATTTTAGCATCAGTTTCTGTCTTAATTTGATAACTTAGTTGAAAGTTTAACACTTTATTTTGGCATAATCTGAAAGAGCGCACAATTTGTATATATCAAACACTTTTCTAAAGCTTTAAGGCTATGTTTTTGGTGGGAAGCAAGGTAAAATCAATTCTTCTCCTAAAGTACGTGATTTCAGAAAAAGCCGAAATAACAAATTTCAGAAATCCAGGAGCCCCACAAATGCTTCAAAAACCTCGTATCAAAGTTTCGAACAACTAATTCGTACATATTTCTAGTAACCTCCTCACAGAAAAAAGTCAAAAATATTGGGGTAAAGTCTGCTAGCTTAACCGCCGATATCTTTTGATAGAAAAAGTCCAGATGATAGTAGACAAATTTGTCTGGAAACTTTCAGTTCATTTATTAGAACAGTCTTGTTTAATTTTTCAAAGATATTGTTTAAAAAGATCGATTACATACTGAGAACTGCAAAGAAAAAACATTAAAAAAAAGAAGTTTTCTGCAGAAAATGAAGAACAAATGAAACTTTTTTTATCTGGTTTTTACCGAAGATCAATATTGCAAATAGAGATCTGATTGAAAAAAAAATTTCAATTTCAGTTTTTTCCAAATAATGAAAAAGACGGATTTATCAATTTTCAGAAAACTCGTGTCAGATCGCTATTTGGAACAAATGAAAAACATATTCTCTGTTGTTTTTTTGAAGAACTTGTATTTTCTACTGTGTAAACAAAATATTGTTTATTAAAGCAATTTGTACAGTTTATTTTTTCATGCATAAAGCTAGCTGATTATCTGTAACATTACAATTAATATTCCATTTCTTTTTCTGATAATAGGTTGTTTGAAATGAGGATAAAATCTTTATCACATCAATATTATTTTTTGTTTTCATATTACGAATATACCATTTTAAATCAAATTGAAATTGTTCTAATGCTAGTAAATTTTCTAATAATTTTTGCCATTTTTCTCCATCAATATAATCTTGACCATTTTGAGTGCCACCATTATAATTATAAGTTAAATATTTTAGAGAATTTAAATTATTCATAATTAGTTGAAATTGATCAAAAGTTAACATCGATGTATCAACATTCAGTATGAAATATTCTAAATATTGACCTTTTGTTTGTAAATCTATATTAGGTAAGGGAACTGATGAATAATAACATAATTGAATATTTAGTTTTTGAATAAAAGGCATATTAACAAATATTATAAATAAATCATTTGGAGTATTTAAAGGTATGGATAATTCACATATAGAATAATTTTTACTCATATTATCAATATAGAGACCACCAAATATATATGAACTTTTTATTAGAGAACAATTTGTTAATGAACATTTGTCATTAAATAATTTTTTAATAATATTATTAGTTCGAGTCTTTTCGAAAATAAATTGATCAACATTACTTTTTAATACTGATAGACATTTTGAATATTTTTCAATAAAATCCAATGATGCAGTTGATAAATTAATTACTTTTACACAACCTGATAATATTGCATTCAAAGTTGAATTGAGATCATAAAATGAATATAATAAATCGACCTGATTAAAATAACTGAAGATTTCAATTTTTAATTCAGGAGGTAAATTATTAAAGTTGATTATTGACCGATCAATCATCTATGACAACAGATTTTGTAGAGAGAAATCAATTTTGTTCAAAATCTAATCGTGTAGATGAACACATCTTAGCCTCTGTGTTATATGTATGAGACAAAAAATTTAAATTTAAGTTTATGTCTGCCATTTTTCATCTCTTTTAGATTAACACATTTTTACTTATACCATATTCCAACTACTACAACACAATTATAGGGAATAAACGAAAAATAACATTACAAAGATTGTGTAAATTTGACCTCTATTTGAATTTTCTTTTATATAACTCGGAAAAAACCCAGCTAAGTTTTCTTAAAGCGTTGTTTCATACGATGAAACAAAAATTATCAACCAGCACGGTTTTTAATTTAGTAAACATAAAATTAACGAAAACCTACAATATGACCTTATAAAAAAGTGTCAGAAAGACAAGTAGATGCCCAGTATGCTTAGTAAGATCTGCTAGAGATCGAAGTATAAAAAAAAAACACTAACAAAATTTAGATTTTCATTTTAATGTGCATCATATTACCAGAAAAACAGAAGAGAAAAAAAATGTCTTTAACGAACGCGTTTGACTCATTTATTTTCGAACGCGTGTCAATTCATCGAGAAAAAAATGTTTACTGAAGTTTTTCTTCCTAACATTAATTGTATAATAGGTGTCTCATTCTCGTAATAAACGTCAAATTCAAAGAAAGAAAGGTAAAATATGTAGGACAACGTGTTGTGATTGCTGTGTAACCGCAGCGTATAGTAGTTTTTACCTGTGATTTTATTCGAATTTGTTTATCTGTTTAAAAGGACATTTTCTGCTTTCTTGTGAAATAAAGATAGAAACAAATCAGATCAACATGGCATTTTTATACTTCGACGAGGTCCAGTTCTGGATCATTTGAGTCAATTTTTGAAAATTCTTGAGTATGGTCCGATCGGATTTTAATCAAATACTTGTGATCCGATATCTCGGTCTCCGATATCTGCCGAATTTACCGACATAAAACACATTTCAAAAATGAAACTTGAAATATGTTGTTGAATTCAGTTTATCTTCCTCAACGTTTATCAGTTAAAAACAATGATAAAAAATGATTTGTTTAGAGATTGACTTACTTTAAACACAATGTTTTATAATCCATATAGCTCGTTTTCTCCAGACCGAGTGGGACACATATTTTTAAATAAAAGCGCATATTTTCTTCTTTTCTACATATTTTACTTCTTTTGGCAGAAAAACACATAAACAATCAGGAAAGTTTATAAACATACGTAAGAAAAAATACAGGCACTAGTAATATGAAAATAAAAATACCAGAAAAACAAAACAAAACAAAAAAACATGGCTTCATAAAGTAAAATACAATAAAACAGTTATGTATAAAATAAAGTCATATACACAAAACAACGCTTACATTTTTTTCATAAAAATATACAACAAAGGCTAGATATCATAACACATTTCCTCCTGTTGAAGTTGATGTAAACGTTCTTCTTTTTTAATCGAAAATTCTCTTCCATCATTAGTTATATATCTTAAATGAGATGGTAGTGTATTCAGTTTCCAATCTATACCTTGCTGATAATATGAATTATGATTACTATTCGAATGATATTGATCAAAAGGGATAATAATATCTTTTGGAGATGAGTCAATCGTATTTTGACTGATACTTTCAAACAATGGTGTTGGCATCGTTGAATAAGATCTTAAAAATTCCGTATTTGTATTTGATTGATGTTGATTTAATGGAATAGAACTATGCCTCGTTAAAGGATGAAAATGAACATTTCGATGGTAATCTTCTACCGTTCCCGGAAGAGGATTAGATGGTGGTGTTAATGATCCACAAAGAAAATTAATATCATTCGAGTCGTATGTAAATGTATTCGATATAGATTTAGAACGTTCAGTATAATTATGAATATGTTGATTGTAATCATTCTCATTTGATGTATGAGGTGATATTAAAATATCAATATCATTTGTTGATGATGTACGATTTAATGTACTTAAAATAGGATCATCTGTCGATTTTAAACGAAAATCTTGACGATCTGTTGGTGTTGTTATATTAGAATTAGAATTAGTTGTTAAATATGGTACCATATCCCTTATAATCATTATACCAGAGGGATCTTGAGAATTATCGTCCATATTCTCAACAGACGATGCATTCGAATCCAAATCGTCTTTTGAATCTATAATAAACAGTAAAAAAATATAGTACTATAATATTAAAAAATATCAATGTAACAAATTGATTAAAGCCATGAAGTATTAGAAACGTCGTAAACAAGCAAGTATTAGAAATAGAAAATATTTCCGGTTTTTTTTGTTAATTATAAAAAGTGATGTATAACGTGCAAAAAAATGACTGGTATGTAAATATGATAAATAAAGTCGGAGGCTTTTATTCACTAGAATCAGCTATTATATTTTCATACATATCTTTTTTCTGTCTTATGTAAAATTGTTCTTTCTCAGTTAGTTTTGATACCAATCTTTCATGTTAATATTTCTCTTATTGCTAATAAATAAACAAATGAATAAAGTCTAACAATGCAACTGTACTGAAATGTGGTTATTTTGAGCAAAAAAAAAGCTATTAGATAAAAATAGCGAATTGTGCAAAAAAATAAATAATAAAATAAAAGAGAATATGCTCACCTATATTTAATTAGTTTGTACGTCATGCAGTAAAATGGAAAATATTTTCCTTACTTGTATCTGAATTTGATATTTTTGGCGATGTTGATACACGATAATCCTGATATCTAACTGATGATAAAGATATTTCACCTAATCAACTGAAAAATCTAAGTTTTTATTTTTAATTCCCTCAAATATTTTAACGAGGGAAAGACATTTAGCGCAACGTGTTTTCACACACTTTAAATATAAATTTTATTAACAACGTACTTAAAAGCATTTCTGTGATGAGATCATCAACTTGTTTTGTATCTTGATTATATTTTGCAACTAGATCGACCATCAATCGAGCAATATTTTGTAATGGTGGCATTAATAGTAACTAAAAATAAAAAATATATTGTCAAAAATTTAGATTAGAATACAAAAAATAACTATATACTGTACCATTTCGCCAAATCTTCCTCTCATTGATGGTTGACTTTGATTTATGTAGATTTCTAAATTAACTTGAATACGTTTACGAATTTCTTTAACACGATTTGCCTCGACAAGAGACTTATTATCTAAATGAAGCAAAATATTTGTTTAATATTTTTTCAAACTCAAAAAAATATATATTTTATGTAGACATACCTGGATCAAAGAAAACAACTGCTTTTAAACAAGCAAATTCTTTTTCATCTAATTGAATATCTTTTAATGGTTTAACAATTTCATCTAATATTCTAATAGCTGCCCGTCTAAGACCTTCATCAGGAGCATTTCGTGATATTATATGATTATTTCCAAGTATAAGATGATCTTTGCATTGTAATGAACGACAGGCTACACCTAATATTAAATTTTCACCGGTATGTCCACGTAACAATGCAATCTAAACATAAATATTAATTGATTATTCATTTCATAAAAAAAAATCTTAATTTTAACCACTTACTTTATCATTATCTGATAATTCAATGAAACCTTTTAAATCTTTGGCCCATTCAATTAAACTTCTTAATTGATAATTCATTGATATTCCAATTGTTTCTAATGTTGCATGAATACGTTCAGAATTTTGTGCAAGTTTATCTAATTGAAGTTGTCGATTAATAAACTGAAAAATGACAATATTCCATAATGGGTATTAAAAAAATATAAACAAAATTTCAAAACTAACTTCTTGAGCTGTTTGTTCAGCTCTCACAAGTGCAGCTACACTCAAATCATCATCATCTCCATCAAAATCATCATGATGTCGTTGTCTACCAAGTCGATCACGTTCTTTTTGTACAGCTAAAATATAAGAACAATAATAAATAAATTTAAACAAACAGTAAACAATCTTACCATCTTTTTTCATCCCCATTAACATACATTTTCTAGAGAAGAAGATAAAATGTTTTGAAAATGGAGAGAAAAAGTTTTGATAACTTACTTCCATCGACAATATCTGCATTGATTACGTTTATCTTTATCAATAATACAATTTTTTTGATGTCGACATTCGTACAGAGGATTTTTTCGAACACTTCGACGAAAAAATCCTTTGCATCCATCACATGAAATTGCACCATAATGTTTACCTAAAATCAACAATAAGGATTAGCTAAAAACGATAATGTTGATTGATTTAAATGATCTTGAAACAAATAAAAAAAAAATCATCGTCCATTTACCAGTGGCACGATCACCACACACAACACAATCGAGTTGTTCGTTATTGCCTAAATTCATCGTTGGCGTTAATGTCATGTTGGTATTATTTATTGAATATTTTTCATCGCCATCGGCTTCACATTTTATCATATGATAATCAGATATTTCATTATTATCGATGCGTGAACTCGTTCGATGCACTAAGAATATATCAAAACAAGTGACTGTATCAATAAATTTATTAAGAACTTCAAATTTCATTAAAGACGAATGAAATATTCTAAAATCGCACCTATACATATAATTTTTTCCATCTATCGTCATTTAACTCTTATGCTAATATCTGTATAAGTACAAATTCGACTGACTACCGAACGTTATCAAAACTTGATTTTGAATGAACTTTTTGGCTTAAACAAAGGTTAAATATTTTCATTTCACTAAAGAAAAAGATTTTGAATAAAATCTTTTTTTTATAAAAATAATCTATACTAATAGTTATAATTTAGCATATTTTTTTGATATAATATGAGAAAATAAATTTTAAATAAAAAGTAGTTATTATAGTTTTTTCCTTCATTGTTGTTTAGTTTTTTTTCTATTTTCTAATCATATTATGAAAAAAATTAGTTATAATATTATGCTTATTGTTTGCCTAATAGACTATAAATTACGATGAGAATTGGACAAATGGTTTTTTACTCACTCAATTAACTTGGACTTATGACATTAATTCGATTACAGGTGGGTTAAAATTGTTTAAGAAAAAAATAAAATCCTTAGATAAAAAAAAATAAAATAAATCTACCATTAATAGAGTGGAAGATGACACTTTAAATCATCAAAACTCAACTCATTGGACCTATACATGCATTGTTTCTATCTCCAAAAAATTTACGTAAGAAACACGTGGTCAATGCATGCCCACATACTATCACACTTTTGTCCATTCCTTCAACAGTCAGTCAATCCATTGTTAGCTTAACAATCTTAAAAACACAAAGTAATTTGTACGAATCATACGGTAGAGCGTAAAAAAACAGGTGTTAATATTCAACTGACGTGAGAATAACTCACTTATATCAGTATCCAATGAAATGATGACGCTCTTTAACAATATATATATTTTTTTTTGTTTTCTTCGAATAATGCAAACTCTCCTACGTAGTTAAGAATATAATTTAGTGTGCTACTAATTGTTATACTTATGAAAATTTTATAAGGGATCGGACACCTTACATGGATAAGAAGAAGAAAAAAAAAGAATAAGGTCATAATGACTCTAAAGAAAAGAACATTGTATAACTTTTCTAGGTGTTAGACTTAACAGTATGAATATCTCAATTTTTTTATACAAGAAATGATAAAATTAATTTTACTACATATTACTTACTTTTTTTTTTATATACTTAGACTCGTCTTAATATAAACACGGTTATATTTATGTTACATTTTTCTTTTCTTTTTTTTAGGTAACAATGAAAGATGATAGACGTCATATAATTACTCTCAATTATAAACTTTTTTTTTACTATTTTAACACAAGATTTAGGAATTCATTTACATTTGTGACAGATTTTTTTCAAATAAAACTATTAATAAGTCTAGTTGTTACTGGTCAGGGATAAAGCGACTTTTGATACGTGTCTAAGCGAAAAAAAAATGAAATAGAATAGAATATACAAGTGGCACAATAAAATTCAAATAGGCTTTCGTTTTTTTTTTTTTCTGTATTATTATTACAACAAGAAATAGATAAAAAGAGATAATAAACGTAATACTATAGACATTTCGCCTTTGTGATATTAAGCGTATATTAAATAGAAATAAAAAAAAAAAAGTCAGGCTATTAGTATCAAAAAGTTCGACAAACCTATTTTTTTTCTATTGCTGCGCCCTGTATGTCTCATATTGTTGTTATTTGCTGTTTTACTACACAAGTAAAAAACGTCCCACACTTTTTTTTTAAAGACGTATATACAGACATTTTTTTAGTACATAAAGTAGTAATAATTCTTCTCTTTGTTCCTTTTTTTAAAAATATTCTACAAAAACAGAACGCAAACAAGTTATGTTGTTTTTTTGTTATTACATATCTAAAAAATAATGTGTGTGCATGTGCGTGAAAAGATTGTCCTTCTTTCCATACGGCTAGTGTGTCTTTATGTATACATATTATTTTCATCAGTAGTCAATTTATGAATATTTGTTAGTTTGTGGCTGACTTGTCGTTTGTATACATCAGAAAAGAAGAACAAGAAGAATAGCTGATGTTTTAACAAAAGAAAAAACGAAAACAATTGATTGTAGAGTATATTTTAACGTTCTATTCTATGTAATACACTTTTTATGTGTATGTTGCAAATGGCAAAGTTGTAAAGTAGAAAGCAATATATATATACGTCAAAATAGCTACAATATCACGCATATAATTGAGTTGTTATTCTTTTTTTCATTGCAATTTATGCAGAGATGACAGCACATACAGATGTTATATTGTACTAAATAACATCAATAAATTAATCCAATATTTCCAACTCCCACGTGGTTATAGACACACCCCACATAATAAACTTATAGATATATAATTAATTAATATGATTAAAGTTAAAGATTTCTGAAGAAAGTGGAAGTAGGAACAATTTAACTATGAAGCAAATTAGCGATGATGGACTATTAGAAATAAGTCGACCAATTTTTTACGATTTCGAACCCTCAGGTGTCAGATAGGTAGCGAGCTCTCGATAAAAATTCCGAGCCGTTGAACAGAGATGTTCGGACCCAAACAGACGAAAAGAGTTCCGAGTTCTCATACATTCTTGGGCGATGAGGGCTCGAAAGTCCCGAGCATCTCTGTTCGAAAGCTCGAAACTGATAAACCCTCGAACGCTTATACCGGAAGTCTCATTTTTCGAGGGATCGAGCTACTATATCGTTGTTCGACCGAATTTTAGGCTCCACTTAGAATCACATTCTGTCATTGTATGCATCCCATATGCACTGTCGACAACAATAAGAGCATATATATAAAAAGCATTCAATTTTAATTAAATCAATCCGGAACTTCAAATAAAAAATATTTTCACATTTTATTTGATGTTTTTCAATTAACAATATCCAAATTATTATTTTTAAACTTAACACTAATTTCAATTGAATACAACAATGTGATATTGATTATCGATCGAAAATGTTTATGAAAGTTTAGTTATGATCTATCTGATATACTCTGTATGGTATTATATCGTTCAATATCAAGCAAAACGCACTGATTCTAGCAATTTATCTAACTAGAGAACTATCTCAATCGCTTTCTGGTTAAAACATACTTTTTTAAGGTAACTTTTGACGCTGATCATAGATCTGATAATGATTTATAACCTTAAGCCTTTTGTTGGATGATTTTCTGAACTTTTAGCTGAACACATTCTGCCAGCTTCAGATTGTAGAGTATGTCAAATTACCTATGCAGAGAAGTTTTTGTAGATGTACAGAAAGTTTATTTTCTTACTCAGCTCGAATATTTCGACTCCTTGCCCAGTAATGTTTTTCAAATTTATCAAAAATTGATTAATTAATAAACACAAGAACTTAAATTAATATAGTTTTAAAATATACAAAAGAAATGCTTTTGTATTGTCTACTTTTTGAAGAATTATACAATTCGTATTGAGAAAATACTCTTTCAGTTCCGTTATTATTACTGTGTCGATATTGCTAATGTATGTAATGACAATTTATCACTATTCAGAAAGCATTTTATATTCCTATGTGTACTTATTCTTAGTATTACTTTACAAATCTTTCATAACCATCAATCTGATCAAACTCGAGTAATGCAGCATCAATTAGATCGTATATAATATCTAGATACATACTATCTACTATGCCATTACAGTAGAACGATTGGTAAAATCATAGTGGAAAAAAAGAGTGAACAATTAATACTTACTATATTTTCCATCGTTTACCATTGTGTATTTCGGTGAAACATTGTTAGAATAAAGTTTTTTTTCATCGCACGAATTAACAAAAATGGTGAATTATTTCCTCATCA